TTAATTTCTTGATTAAATTTCATCTTACAAATATAATATTGGAAATTAACTTCCACCTTTTTACCCAAGCAGGGGAGAGGGAGGGGCAGGGAGACAGGGAATCAAGGCTGCGCTTTTCCTGAGAGTTCACCCAACAGGTCCCAGAGGGAGCCACATCCGTTGGGGGCAAAGCGCCTTCATCTTCATCGGTCTCCAAGGCCCACCAGAGCATGGCAACACCTGAACCCACATGGCTCAGGAGAGCTCCTCAGGACCGTGTCATCATCCAGCCACGATCTGCTGCCGAGCCCCATAACCCGCTGAGCTGCAACCGTGCTACAGTCACATGGACCACCACACGTGGGGGATCACATGAGTGGTGCCAGCTGGAGCTGGGGGTCAGGCTAGATGGCCCGAGAAACCCCGTCTGGCTTGCTCTGTTTCTGTGGCCTAGCAGTGGCCAACTGGTGGAGCTGGCACTCATGTACAAAGCCCAGTGGGGGTACCTCCAGCCCACAAATATTCTCACCTGGCCCAAAGGGGGTCACACTCGCTCTGCTGCCCCAGCCCTGCCCCTGAAGCTTCGCAGCACTTGCGGGTGTCTCTGTCCATCCCTCCCGGAGGCATCTTTGGTTTCACCCATTTGGGCACTATGGCATTGGAAAGGCATCCCCGCCCCAGGCCTAGGCTGGAACAGTCCTCCAGCAGTGTCTTTGGCCATGATCCCGGCCAGGAAACACACATTATTATTATTATTATTATTATTATTATTATTATTATTATTATTACATCAGAATAAAGCAAGCTGGCCCAGGCCATCGCCTGTCCTCAGCCCTGCCATAAATGGTCCAGTTTCTGGGTCTCTCAGGGAAAGCACCCCAAGGTCGATTGAGGCCCTATTTCCAGTTGCTACATATGGTGCCTCAAGGAGGAGGTGCAGCAGAAGGGGGGGGGGGTGGCACATGCTGTGCACGCAGAAGGTCCCGATCCAGCCTCTGGATCAGGACAAAGCCACAGAACCAGTGCCAGACGAGATCCAGGGGGCTGGGCGAGATGCACCAAGGCCGCGTTCTGTGCTCTTACTCGATTCAGCCCGATATTCACAACCCCGAGGGCTGACTCTGTCTGTGTATGGGGGAGGGGGCAAAGATCCATGGACAAGGACATGTCTTGCATGCACAAGCTCCTGGATTTAATCTCTGGTCTGTTCAGTCAGGGATGGGGAAACCTTTTCTTAGCTTGAGATGCCAGAGGGCTGTGGCCAATCAGTGCCAACAAAACTGGGATAGGTGAGCGTAGGTCTCGGCCAGTTTAGGACAGCTTTGGATCATGTGACTCCAAGTGCTGGGTGGGTCAGCGCTTGGAGTCACAGTACAGTCAGAACTGTACTTTGCAAAACGAAAGCTTGGGGGTGGCGGGAACCAGTGCTTGCTTCAGCATGCTCTGCCTCCCAGTCTGGTGTCTGCTAGGAAAGAAAGAAATGCAAGGAGAAAACATCTTTCCAGCAAAGAAAGGAGATGTTGCCAGCGAAGTGCCTGTTCAAAAGAGCTGTGCACATTTATTAGGATCTCATGCTCAGAGGCTCTGCCCGGGGAGCACTTAGGGCCACTATTTTAATACTCTGGGCAGCTCTTCCACTCAGCCATCAGGGAGGCCTTGAGCTCTCGTAGCAGTCGGCAGCCACAAACACCGGCCTTCCCCTCTGAGCAGAAACCAAAATCAAAGTGTAAAATTTGAAATTCATAGATTTCACACTGAAATTAATGACCAGACCCATGAAGGGTTGCTTGCAATTGGTTAATAGGATTTCTTTGTCTCCCCTTTTAATTAAAACAATAAGCAAACTTGGAACTCCCAAATTAGAAAACTGCCAAGCTTCAGAGTTTGCCTGGAGAAATTTCAAGTTTTAATCAACAACCAGTGGCTAAGCATGAGCATGCCCATGTTTGTTTGTCTAGGCATGCACAGGATTGCACCTTAAGTTAAACAGCAAAAAAGTACCATAGCACAGGGTCCTCAGCTTATCTGGCCTAGCTGTGAGTAATATTTCATGCATCTTGATAAAGTGTTCTCGGGCCCAGAAAGGCATACCATGTGGCTTCCTTGTCTGTTGTTACACGGATGAAAAAGGCAGTGGTTAGAGGGTTTACACACAAGAGGAACCTCTGTAGGAAATGGGTACTGGGGCAAATAGACAAAGGGTATACCAGGAGGAGGAGGCCTGTTGCAGAAGGATTCTTCGCAAGGCTAAGGCTGATTGCGAGCTGAGACTTGCCAAGAATATCAAGAGCAAAAAAAAGGGCTTCGTTCAGCATGTAAATAGGAAGAGGAAGGGGAGACAAGTGGTGGGACCACAAAATAAGGAGGAAGGAGATCCAGTGTCTGATACGAGGGAACAGGCACAGATGCTAAATGACTATTTTGCCTCTGTGTTCTCCCCAAAGCAGGACAGGGGAGATTTGCATAGGAGATTAGATGAGGCCAGGGACTTAGGGGCACAGATTAGAGTCACCCCTAGAGGTCGAGGAGCTCCTCAGGGCATTGGACATTACAAAGGTGCCAGGCCCTGACGGGTTACACCCGAGAGTACTTAGAGAGTTGGCAGGGGTACCCTCATGTACTCTGGCCTCCATTTTTGAGGCCTTGTGGAGAATGGGTGACGTTCCAGAGGACTGGAGGGTGGCATCAGTGGTCCCAATTTTCAAAAACGGTAGTAGAAGGGACATGGGGAATTACAGACCAGTTAGCCTTACATCCATTGTAGGAAAAACAATGGAAAGGCTCATAATAGAGAGAGATCTAGTGATGCTAGATAGGGAAGGGAGTCTGGCAACCACACAACACGGTTTCCGCAAAAACAGGTCCTGCCAGACAAACCTTGTGGAATTTGACAAGGTTTCAAGGTGGCTGGACGGAGGAGATGAAGTGGATGTGGTTTACCTGGATTTCAGCAAGGCCTTTGACAAAGTGCCCCATGATATCCTGGTGGAGAAACTGAGGAGTTTTGGGATACACCAAAGCACTGTCTGGTGGATTAGGGCACAGTTGCCTGACTGAAAGCAGAAGGTAACCATTACCGGGGAATCATCGGGATGGCAGCCAGTGACAAGCGGGGTCCCCCAGGGCTCTGTCCTGGGGCCGATCCTGTTTAATCTTTTCATTAACAACATGGAATAAGGGGTGAACAGTCTGCTGATCAAATTTGCAGGCAATACTAAAATAGGGGCAGTGGCCACAACTGAGGAGCAGGTACTCCAGATCCAAAAGGGTCTGGACAGACTATGGAAGTGGGCAGGAGACAACAGGATGGCATTCAATGTGGATAAGTGCGAGGTCTTGCACTTGGGGCTTAGGAATGGGTGTCATAAGTACAGGTTAGGGGACAAGTGGCTGGAGAACAGCACTTGTGAAAGGGACCTTGGGGTGCTGGTTGACTGCAGGCTAAACATGAGTCAGCAGTGTGATGCGGTGGTCAAGAGGGCGAACGCCACCCTTGGTTGCATAGCCAGAAGTGTGGCTTCTAGATCAAGAGAGGTATTACTACCACTCTACACGACTCTGGTGCACCCGCAACTGGAGTATTGTGCTCAGTTTTGGGCCCCTCATTACAGGAAGGATATAGCCAAGTAAGAGTCAGTGCAGCATAGGGCCACAAGGTTGGTGGCTGGTTTGCAGGGGATGCCGTATGAGGCGAGGCTGAGGGAACTGGGTCTCTTCAGCCTGGAGAACAGGAGACTCAGAGGGGATCTGTTGGTGACATACAGGTATGTGAGGAGATGTCACAAGAAGGTGGATGGAGACCTGTTCTCCCCTGCAGAGGAAGGCAGGATGCGCTCTAATGGAGCACAGCTCAGGGAACAAAGGTTCCATTTAGATGTCAGGAAGTTAGGACCCCGAGGGCTATCACTGGAGGTCGTTGAGGCCCCATCAGTGAGGGTGTTCAAAGATAGGCTGGACATGCACATGGTGGGCATGTTGTGAGCAGAGCCGGCTGGAGCCGGGGGTCAGACTACGTGGAAGGCCCAGGAGACCCCTTCTGACTCACTCTGCTTCTATGTTTCTTTGTTTCCACATAACAGTCAAATGTGGGTACCCAGTGAAATTAGAAAGAAAAAACTGAGGTTTGGGCATTGAAATAGCAGAATCTCACACAGACACACATCAGTGGATATCTGATTGAAAGAACAGATTTGAAATATTAGATGGATCGGAAGTCTTGTGCAAAGATCTGCTTCCCACTTCAAGCCCTTCCACAAAACGTGGCTAAATGTTGCCTACTTCACTTAATTATCAGAGAGCTGCAAAGCAACCCACTTGATCCTCAGAACAGGAGCAAGATTCAATAAATTAACCAAGAAGAAAATTAATTACCCACAGAGGGTAATTATTGGTGGCACAAGCCAAAGCAAAGCAGAGTTTTACAAGTCTATTAAAGTGAGAGAAACAGACGTCAGTTAAGTTAATTGGCATTCCTTCTTCATTTTATTATCTGGATTGACTAGTTATTCTTTGCAGAGGAAATTTTTTATTGATCTTTAATTCATATTTATAAAATAACCTTATTTTACAAAGATTTACAGCTTTGGAGGGGTGACTTTGGCCAACTCTGTTATACCTCATTAAATAATCAACCACAAATTGCAGACTATAAAAAGGAAACAAAAATGATAATGCAAATAAAAATCAAAACAGATTTGGGTGGAATCAACCCTTCCACACAAACAACCTAACAAAATATTAACAGATTAGATATTTTGTAGCAAAGGGGCTAAAACAGGGATGGGGGCAGTGAATCCATCAGATATTTGAGTTATCTAAGGACCAATTCAGAAGATTGCTTTTGAAGTGGCAATGTCTTCCCATAGCAAGTTTAACTGTGGATTGTTTGTGTGTTTCTTTGTTTACACAGAGAGGTGTTTATTTGAAGTACAGCTCAAGTAGAAAGAAAAAAAATGTATGCACAAACAATGAAAACATATGTAGTAAGTTTCAAGGGTTGTTTTTATGTAGTAATTGTGGATTTTCCTGACATGACACTGCTTCAAAACACCCTGATCTGATGGCAGACGAAGAAGGTACCACATGCACCAAAAATAATATTGTGATTTGGACCCAGGCTATATGGCATGATTCTCTTCTCCTTTGCCCCTCCACCCCCAAGAAGTGCTGGCAAAACACGTACCTATTTTCATGGTAGTGAAATGGGGTCAGCAATTCGCTTCCCCGTAAATGTTTGGAAGAACAGCCGTCTCCAAGCGAGCCTGCAGAATCCAGTCCAAATTATTGATGAGTTTTGCATCAATGTGAATATCTCGTGTTGCTTTTTAATTCACCTGGAGGTAAGCTACTCACAGTGGCCAAGTGTCGTCTTCTCACCTGCACACCGTGGATGGATGGAGGCCCAACTAATAGGCCGAGGTTTCTTGTCTCAAAAAGAGTTTTTCAGTCGGTGGCTCCCAGTCCCTCTGGGAGCCCCAGACTGGGTGTGATGGTCCCTTGATGCCAGTGCTGGAGCTTTCGCCAACTCGACAATGTCAAGCGTGCAGCAAAACTTTCCCTGGTGATGCTTAGAACGACGGTCCCTTGACGGCCCCGGGGGCCGAGGCGTACGCTGAGGCTCCTAGGCAGGCGGCCGCTTCACAGAACCCAGGGAGGCCGGCGGGCCCAGGGAGGCCAGGGCGCCCAGCTTCCCCGGGGGCACCTGGGGTGCCTCGTTCTCCGTTTTTGCCATTGACAGCATGGCCAGGGTGACCAGGAAGACCTGGAAGAAAGGAAGGGGCAGGCATGTGCTCTGAGCTCAGGTGCCTTCTAAAATCGATTCTACGAGTCCAGCCATTTCTGCAACTGTGCAGCTGGAGCACATGGTGGGAAGGAACTCTGATGGGCACCGTCTGCTTCTGCCTTTCACAGGAGGAAAGCCAGAACCCATGGTAGGCAGAAGACGGCTCCAGAAGGATCCCTCCACCAGCAGCTGTTGAGAGAGAAGCCTGGCGGCCTCTAGAGGGCAGGCTGGCTCCTTCTGGCCACTGGGGGGCGGCAGCGGCGGCAGCAGCAGCAGCTGGCCTGGAACGGGTGAGCCACCTGGGCTACAGTCCCCACGGCCTCTGAAAGTCCTGAAGCAGCCTTGCCCAACCTGGGACCCTCCAGATGGGCTGGCCTTACTGATAGCATCCCCGCAGAGAACTCCGAGGAACATCACCCACCCCCAAGGAAGTCACGGCCTTGTCACGGCCTCTACCACCTTTCAGAGAAGCCACATCAGGAGTCCACATGGTTGCGAGTACTGGCTCCGTGCTTTCGGGCCCTTCAGAATAAGCAAAGAGGCTGCATCACGTGCCCTCCACTGTTTATTTGCAGGGGATTCAAGGTGGATTACACAATTATCCTTCCCAAACTTATCCTCACAACAACAGCCCTGTGAGGTGGGCTGGGCCGAGAGGCTGTGACTGGCCCACAGTCACCCAGTGCGCTGGCTCCATGGCTGAGCAGGGCCTGGAACCCGGATCGCCTGAGTCCCAGTCCCACGCGCTTCACCACCACACCACACTGGCTCCCAGTGTTGCCTCAGCCACAGCTTTCCCACCAGGTCGGGGAGCTGAGCAGCAAGCCTTAGTGGTGAAGAGGAGGGACAGGTTGGGACGGCTCTTGTCGAGGGACCTTCCCCAGCAGGGGGCCCACCGGCATGAGCCCAACCTTGCCCACCTTTAGGCACACTGCTGTCTGAGCCTACTAGGAGCATGTGCTACTCTGAGTCAGCAGCTATGAGGACAAGTGGACCAAGAGCCCGTAAACACGTGTCCGCCGTTCTGGATTCCTGAAAAGGGGTGCCCGAGAACCACACCATGGAAGAAATGATTGAAAATGGATAGAGCCCATAAGTGATTGCAGGGAATTCAACACCCTGTGTCCTGCGGGATCCATTTTCACGTCGAAAGCTGGCTCAGTCCAAGCGTGTTGCTTGTTCCATAAAACCCAGACAGCTTTCCCCAACAGCAAGGAAATTTGGCACGCAGAACCTGTCGGAGGGGGAGCATAACCTGGCCAAACATCCAGGAATTCCAGGGAGCAGAGTCTGTGCACAATCTGAGTTACAGCCATTTAAACTCTGTCCGCTGAAGCCATGCCTGCGACAACTGCTCGCTGCCCCCAGCACACCCACTCGCTTCCCGTTTGCCTGCCTGGATTATGCCAGAACGCTGCAGGATCCGCTCCTCGGTCGCTCATGTGGAAACCCGTTGGCTGCATTTGAGCCGTGGGGCTTTGGCACCCTCATTTCCAAGCGGCTCCCAGCACATGCCGGTCCGACCTCTGCAGGGTCCAGGAAGAGCTGGTGATCCAGCTGGCAAGCAGCCTCGGTGCCCAAGCAGAGGCCCCAGGACAGGCTGAGGGAGGCTGTGGAGAGGACAGGGCCGCCCCCGCTTCCCCAGCCAGGGCCTGGGATGGCCGCCGGACAATTGGCAGCCAGTGGAAGGCTCGGCACGCTTCCTCCCCAGCCCTCGTCTGCCAGCACGGCTGCCCACTGCAGTCCCTGCTGGGTTCCAGCCTGTCCCTGACTGGGACCCAGTGCCAGTCTGTGCCCGACCCGGTGCCCACACAAGCTGCGCTCAGCTGCCATTCCCATCGTTCCTGACAGGGGAGGTGGGCACTTAATCCAGTGCATCTTACCCGGTATGCCAGGGGGTCCCGGCATCCCTTGATGTCCTCGACCCGGTTCTCCTTGCTCTCCTTTCTCACCTCTCTTCCCTGTCAAATGGCAAAGAGGGGAAAACGTGAGATGGGCAGCTATCAGCTCAGCACTCCGGGGATATTGTGACTGGCACAAAACCAGCTGTCCCCATCCTTGGATGACAGAGAGGAGGAAGATGCGTCCACCTGCGCTTGGGGGCAGTTGTTCTCCCAGAAGAACAGAGAACGCATGGCCTGCCGCAAAGGAAGCTCTGGCTGCGTGCGGCTTTGTCTCCTCTCCCAGTAATCCCCAGTGCAGAATTTAGCTTCCCAAAACCTCAGCTTCACTTTAAAGTTTCTAGCCCTTATGGCTATAGCAATAATCTTGAGGGTGTACAGGGAATGCCTGGGGAAGCACCACACATCAGAGGAGCAGCTGGCTAGAACGTCCGTGCTCTGCACGGTTTCACACTGCCTCTCCCCAAGACGAGGGAAATGTGACTCTGTTCTATGACAGCGAGCATTGCAGAATTCATTGTGCCAAGCCAGGGAAAACAAGCCCATTTGCGCTGCTAGCGTGGAATGCCACTCTCTTTTAAGGGCAATTTTACTTTTCCGGTTCAGCTGCTTTTCCTCCTTGCGCCAACCGCCTGCTGAAGCCAGCGGCCTTTCCACTGCCCCAGCATTTCCCCACACCACGCCACCGGGAGGTTGCAAAGAGGCACCCGAGCACCTCACGAGTGGCTTTGGGGTCCCTCGCTCCACCACAGCGACTTGCCGCTGTCAACAGAACCAAACCACGTACACAACCCGAGGCGACTTTCCCCACCCTCATCTCCTCGTCTTGAAGGGCCAGCAGCCTGCCCAGCTCAGCCAACTGTCTGGAATTCTGGGACTTGGAGCTTCAAGCCCCTGGGGAGCGCTGGCTGGAGGCCCTGAAGCACCATTAAGGCGTGTCTGCCCCTTGCCCACCCTATGGATCGTTGCCCTCCATGCCTGTCCATCCACACCGCTTCCTTCAAGACCGCCATGTCCAGCCAACGAGTGCTGGGGCAGCCCCTTTCGTCTTTTTCTGCTGTTCACTCCCGCTTGCTTGACTTTTCGAGGGAGTCGGCTCTCGGGACATGGCCAAAGTCTTGAGCCAAAAAACTCTATGGATGGATTGACTCAAAAATGCAGATGATGTGGTACCAAGCAGTGACACACACACACACACACACACACACACACAGAGCGCCCCTGGAGAATGCATTCTATGCAGCGCAGGTCTAAAGAGCACATTTCTAAAAAAATACACATTTTTCAAACATGATCGAAAATCTGGGAATTGGCTAAGATTCCTCAAAACAAAACCAAAGCGATGCTGCTCGCTGCAGGATTCCGATGGGGATGCATCCGCGTGGTGTGCAAACTGGGCCCGAATGCTCCTGCCTGCCTGGGAAGGAGGGCGTGGCTTCCTGGGGCGCGCTGGGAGGCCCCCCATGCTTCGCAGCCTCCTTACCTTTTGGCCCCGTGTTGCCGATCTGCCCCACAGCTCCGATGATTCCTGGGATACCACGAGCACCAGGGGGGCCGTGCGGTCCTTGCTGACCAGGAGGGCCTGGGGGGCCTGGGGGACCAGGGGGGCCCACCATCCCTGCTCCACCCAGGGTAGCTCTTTTAGCACTCACTGCTAACTCGGCAAGTTGTTCTGTAAAGCACACAAAGAGAGGCTTTGCTCCTCTGTCCGGCGAGCAAAGAAGCAGTTCTTCATTTGCCTGAGAGAGTTCCGGGCTGCTCAGTGCGAGGATTGCAAATGCCTGGGACTGCCTTGAAGGGATTAGGTATTCAGGGAGGATTCTCAGCATGAGGATTAAGAAGGACTCTGTGGAACCTCCACGATCTGGGGCAGTCTACCTCTGGGTTGGAATGGCAAGGGGACAGACAGTGGGAGAGAAGAAGCCACGTGTGTGGGCTTCCTGAAATCATCTGGCTGAAGACAGGGGAGTGGACTAGGGTTCAGACAAACCCTTGCATCCCTGTAGCATCCACAGTCGTCTTCTCATGCTCAGGCCAGTCCTGCAAAGTAAGCTGAGCCAAGAAGAAGCCCGTGAGCAGTGACAGCCATGGCTGCATGACCGGCAGCATTCGGAAAAGGGACACAGGAAGACGCTGCCAGAGGTCACACGAGGTGCCAGTCCAGGTGACTGCAGTTCTTGGAACGAGCAAGAGGGCTGCCTGGGCGCTCGCTCTCCAGGACTGCCGACTGGGCTGCGGAGGAATCAGAAGCAGATGTGAGGCAGAACTGGGAGCGGGGAGAGCCTGGGACTGGGGGCAACCTGCGGCCCTGAAATGGGGGAAGCAAAGTTGCTTATCTCAAGGCCAGGGTCCCCAGGTGGGCAGGCAGTTTCTAAGAGGCACGGTGGCAGGGGGGACAGAGCAGGGAAGCTTCTCAGACTCAGGTGAGGTGGGCATGGTCCCCGGAGGATCAGCAAAGGGGAATGGCCCAATTAGAAGACTGACATGTGGGGAGGAGGTAGGCTTGCTTTCATAAGCCCACCCCCCACCGTCTTCACAGGGATAGGGCCCGCATGCTCATAACGTGAAGCATGGAGGTGAAGACTAGATTGGGTTAAAAAAAAAACACTCTGTGCATGCTCAGAGACTCATTCAGGGTGTTGGTGCCTTTTGGTCAATAAAGGACACTTTGCAAGGAGAAAGGTCCTTGGCTTTTGAATGCATGAGGGAGGAAGCCCAGCTCACTTCTGCAGCCACCAGCCTTCTTCCGCATCCAGTGCAGCCACTGGGCACAGCAGAGGGGCACCGCCTGCCGCACACAGCGCTCCGTTCCCAGCAAACCTTCGCGTCCTTGCCAGGAACCCGGACTCTGGGCTGTGGCAGGCTGGGCCCAGGCCCAGGCCCAGGGAGGGGGTCCGGCAACCCGACAGATCCCCCACCCAACAGATTCCTCACACACCCCTAGGCAGGGCTGGACGGATCAGCCTTCGCCAACGCGACACCCACCACTTCGGGATGGTGCTGGGCGGGGGAGGCTGACGCAGACCCACCTCGTCTGTGCCAGCAACACCCTGCTCTCACCTTGCAGCATTTTCAAGACCACATCAACAATGTGCTGCTCTCCGGCATCCCTGCCCTGGAAAGTGAGAAGAGAGGAGCGGGCTCAGGCCATGTCATGCACCGCAGTGCTGGAGTGCATCACGCGCCCCACGGTCCAGAACCTGCGCACGCACCTGCAGAGGTGCCGCGGCTGCCTCCATGCAGCGTGGGGAAAATATGTCTCAGTGGAATGGCAGTAGAGCAAGCCCTGTGGCCTGCGGAAAGCGTGCGCTGGGCACGTGCTGGCCTCCTCCCATAATGAGCGTGCTCGCACTAACTCCTGGCAATAAGGACCCTCCCCCCACATATGCACAGCAAAGGATGCACAGGCCTTTCTGCATCGAGCAATTTCCTCACACCTTTTGCTTACAGTTACATCAATAAGGTCTAGAAAATTGGCCTGTATTTTTATAAAATGCACACACACACACATATGAAGGGCCGCGTCCCAATGATTGCAGCTCTGGCTCTAACGAAGGGGTGAGGAACGTGTGGGGAGGGATTTCCTGCATGCAGAGGCGGAAAGGGATGTTCTCCAGATCACACTCGGGATGCTGTTCACTCGGGCCTGCTCTGGAAACGAGGCCTGCCTGAGGGTGCCCTCCCAGCTTGGGCCCTTGGCGGGGGCGCTTGGGGCACTCTCTGTCTGGCCGTGCCTGGGATCGCATCCCTCGTGGCTGGGGCTGCCCCGGGTTGGGCACTCCGCTATTGCTTAGGTCCGGGGGATGCAGGATTCAGAGGCCCACGCACTTCAGTGCCCGGGGTGCCTGGTTGCGTCGCCTGGGGGACAGAGGCTGCCCTTAAGGACGCAAAATCACAGAGAACCTGATCCAAGCTGGTTAGTCCTGCCGACTCAGCCGAAAGGTGTGCAAGCTTGCTAAGGGAGCATCGACAGCAACAACCGATGGCTTTTAAGTCGTGTGCGAAGGACCGCATTGCTCATCATTTCTAAACTGTTTTTTTCCTTTTCCTTTTTGCAGTTCTGAGAGAGAGCCTTAAGAGGACTCTCTGGACTAATTCGGAATGTCCAAAGGTGTACAGCAGCAGGGCCAGGTTCGGAACTGACTGGGGATGCTGGGATCCAACACACCTGGAGGGGACAGCGATCCGGCACGCTAGAGTCAGTCTCTTGCATCCCTGCAAACTGGGTGGTGTTTTGGCTTTCCCCAAATGAATCAAGGTATCGACAGCAGAATCAACATATAAACCTATTGGTAAAATTTTTTGTAGCACTGTGTTTTCCAAATATATGACAGACAAGGCATGCTCCTTCTTTTGTGTGTGGGGGGATGAATTAACAAGTGGGGCTCTGTTCCCTCTTTCCCCAAAAAGGGCTTTAGTCTTGCAATGCAAAGAGCAAGACTGATGCTGCCTGAGCCGCTGTGTATCTGCATGTTGTGTGGCTGTTTTGCTGCAGGAGCATGGAGATTCGGGGGCTTACTCACCGGGGCCCCCTGCAGTCCAGGCATTCCGGGCACGCCACGTAGGCCACCAAGCCCTCGAGGGCCAGGAGGTCCTGGGAAACCTTGCACCCCGGGAGCTCCTGCATCTCCAGAGGGTCCAGAATAACCAGGCTCCCCGCGGACACCTTGCTGTGAAAGAGAAGATGCAAGTAAGGGAGGGCCCCACACCGGCCCGTGGCCCAACGGCTCCTCGGACGGCGGAGGTCTGCTCATCTCTGGGGCTTTTATGCTGCCTTGATGGGTAACACCAGCTCTGCTTGCGGCCTCCAGCGTTCTGAGGGTGCTTGAGGGCCAGGCCGGGCGACGGCACCCCTCCTGCAGGGTGCATCCGCCGCACTGGATGGCTGCAGCCCACAGCTGGCCTCCCACAATATCAGGGGCCCATTGTGAGTCATCTTGCCTAATGGCCACCATCTGCCTCATGGACCCAAGTGGCCCTCACAGCATCCTGAGTCCCAGCATTAGGCAATGCGCAAAAGAGGATTTCCACATGTTTGCCTGAAACTTGCCAACACACACACGTTATGAGTGAATGCATGTTTTCGCACAGTCCCATCCCATTCATTTGATTAACCTCCACCTCCTCTATGCTTGTTTTCCCTAACTTGAACACTCTTTTCCATGAGATAAAAGGATGATCCACCCCTCCACCCCTGCAGGCCACCAGAAGAATTAAGACAAACAGCTCTTTAAAAGGGTTCTGTCTTGCCTAGTCCAGCATTTTAAGGCAGCACAAACTTTGATTCTGATTCACAAATAGTCACCTGTCCCTTTGGTCCTGGCTCACCCGATTCACCCTAGGAAGGAAGAACCGAGAGCGAAAGTGAAGATTCGGGCTGCAATGTCAGCAGTTACTCTCCTCAACAAACTTCTGCAGCCATCGCCAAGCCCCCATGGAAAACATGGCCTACCAAACTGCCATCCATATCCCCAGCATACCAACAGAAGGGGCTGCACTGGGATCATGCAGACCAGGCCACAAGGGGGATGGAGGCGGTTCAGTCTTAGCTGCGTTTCCCCCGTCCGGGAACCAGGAGCATGAGGGAGAAAAGGGTGGGAATGCCACTTGACCCTAGGCCAAGCACACAGCAAAAGGCCGGTCCGTGCAGTTGCCTGTCGCCTGCCTCGTGGCTGGACACCCTGTGGCCACTGGCTGAGTGGCTACGAGGGCACAGAATGTTTGCAAGCGTTCTAACTACAGAGGGGAAGTGTTGGGAAGAGAGGATTGGCCACGAGTGCGGCCCTCTGTGGCGAGTCTGGGAACGTCAGGACGGGGTTGCCGGGGAGGCTCTCAGCGGGTCTGTGGAGAGGAGGAGCACGTTCTGCGTCGTTTGCCACAGCCCCAAACGGCGAGCCCACAAAGACGCTCTGGCAAGGCCCCTTACCTTTTCTCCTTTCTGCCCAGGAAGGCCTTCAACACCAGGATCTCCCTGTGGGGAAGGGAAAGCCTCGCATCATGCGCTGCGACTGCAGACAACCCCATCCCCTCAGCCTCAGACGTTCCTCCTTTCCTGTCTTTACTGCTCCACTCCTGCTTCCCTGGAGCAGTTCAGGGACGGGACTGCTCAGCCTGCCCGGGTCCTTGGCCCTGAAGTACCATTCCGGAAGAGTCCCACTTCCCGGTGATCCAGCAATGGGCCTCCCCAAGCTCTCGGCCCTTGTGGGATTATGGCGCACAGCCTAGCCGAGGGCGGCAGCCACACGTTCCAACAGGCACTGCGTGCGCAAGCAATTCTGGGGAAGACGGAGGGCTGCCTGAGGGCCCATCCTGGAGCTGAGTTCACACAAGACGGGTGCGCCCTTTGCGCGGTGACCTACCTGCCCGCGTGTTTGCCTACTGGTGAGGGTGTTGCACTCCCAGGAAAGGATTGGATTTGTGCCTGAAGCGTGCTTACAGGTGCAGCTCCGGAGGCTCAGATGGCTTCACCCCCCACTTGCTTGGATGGAGACAGCCTGGCCATGGTGGTGCGTGGAGCTGCCTTAGACGATGGCTGGAGAACCAGCAGGCAGCTGCTGACGGGTCCCGCCGGCACGCCAGTTTCTGAGCGGGCCCATAACTTGGAAGCCCTTCTGAGCTTGGACTCCAGCGACTTGCCCACGACTTGCACCTTTCCCCACGCCAGCCTGCCCCGCCCCGCCCAGCCTCCTGCAGCAGACTGGGCCCAAGAAGAGGAGCCTGCTCCACGGCCAGGCCCAGGAACCGAGCAGCACCTGGGCTTAGATGGAAGCAGCCCCAGAGGCCACATCCTGGCCCAGCCCGAGCAGACTTGCTGGCACCAGAGGCGGTGCCAAGCCCGGAGGGAATGGAATGCCCGCTCTCCCGAAAAACACCACGACCCCTCGGAGCCTTCAGCAAGACAGTGCCGCAGCCCCAGCCCCGCCGCTAGAAGGAGCCCTGGCTGCCCCCAAGGCCCTTTCATTTCACCATCGCCTCCTCCTGGAGGGCGAGATGCTATGGGCCAGGACACCACCTGGCCCCTCTGTGCATACTTTTTAGAAAACAGAGAAAAAGCTTTGCATTAAAAAAGGAAGGGAGGGAGGGAGGGAGGGAGGGAGGGAGGAAGGGAGGAAGGGAGGAAGGGAGCAAAGCTCAGGGAGCCAAGGTTCCATTTAGACAGTTAGGACCCCGAGGGTGTGGAATGGGCTTCCGCGGGAGGTCGTTGAGGCCCCATCGGTGCGGATGTTCAAGGATAGGCTGGACGTCCACATGGTGGGCGTGTCGTGAGCGGAGCCGGCTGGTGCCGGAGGTCAGACTAGATGTCCAGGGAGGCCCCTTCTGACTCGCTCTGTTTTCTATGTTTTCTAAGTACTTCCTGATGGTTAGGACCCCTGGGGTATGGAATGGGCTTCCAAGGGAGGTGGTGGGGGCCCCATCAATGGGGGTGTTCAAGGACAGGCTGGACGTGCACATGGTGGGCATGTCATGAGCGGAGCTGGCTGGTGCCGGAGGTCAGACTAGATGGCCCGGGAGGCCCCTTCTGACTCGCTCTGTTTCTCTGTTTCTAGGAAGGAAGGAAGGAAGGAAGGAAGGAAGGAAGGAAGGAAGGAAGGAAGGAAGGAAGGAAGGAAGGAAGGAAACAGAGGCGGGGGGGGGGGGGGTAAACCCGCTAGAGTTTGTTCATTTCTACAGATTGGTTGAGATTTTCTAAGCTGCTGAAGGTGTGATCATATGCATGTCTAGTAAGAAGACACAGCCTAAAATTTTGGCTCAGGAGCCGTAGGCTTCTTTCTGTAGAAACGTGCACAGGCGCGTGCCCCCAAGCGTGGCCTTCCCTCCCTGACTTTTGAATTTGTTGTTACCTGCTGCTCTATTTTGTATTATTGATATTTGTGGAAAGGTGTTACAGTTTTTATACACTTCCTTTTATTTATTTGTTGGAAGCCGCCTCGAGGCTTATGCGAAGGGGGCAGCATACAAGAATTCCAAATAAATAAATATCCCCCTCCTTGAGACTATCACCTGCTGAAGGTGCTGGATAAACATTTAATTAATAAACTATGGAAGAAGTGGTCAGTAAATTTCCAGTTGCTTTCAACTTGGAAATCCTATAAACGAGAGCAGTTCGAGGATCAAAAAGCAGTCAAATATACTTACAACATCACCTTTGGGTCCATGTTTGCCTGGGATGCCCTGGAGAACAGAAGGAAACATGTTGAAATTTGGGAGCAGTTGAATGCATTCAATCCTCATATATACATTTTCTGAACCAGAGGGGTTGGGGGGGGGCAGTGGAATAATTTTACTTAATTCTCTACTGGTTTATTTTATTACCTTTCTATTCTGCCCTACAACCAAAGTTCCCAAGCAGTTCACAAAAATTAAAACCTTAAAAGTACCATGTAGAACTCAGTCTAAAAAAAGCATATACATACAAAACCCGTTTTTAAACAGTTGACACAAATTCTTCCCTGGATTGGGATGAGGCGTCAGGTGCTCCATTCCGTTTTGTAGCCTCTCCCCTGGACTTTAAAATTCAAGATAAATTGCGCTAAGCGTGGAGGAGGCAGAATTCATGGTGCAAAGGCTGGTGAAGTCTGCAAAGATTCTTGTTTTGCAAAAATTACACAAGGGGGCCACATTTTGGGGGAAAGATCTGGGATGGTGGAATTAGCACCCTTTAAGAAAAAAACATGTACACAAAATACTGGCTTATCACTGCAAACATCATAGGAATCCAGTCACTCATTTTCCTTTGGCCAAATGGATAGCCACATTTATGCAACAGCCTATCCACCTGGCGGCAGGTGATGGCCGTGTGTGTGATGCCTTAGTTTAGGTAAGCACGTGGAGAAGGCTAACTATGGGCATAGCCATCACTGTCACCTGCCTCAAGGATCCAAGGCTGCAGACCTCTCAGTCCCAGCTGCTGGGAGGAAGCCGTTGCTGAAGCATGCGGCTTGTGAACTTCCTTGAGGAGTCTGGCTGGCCATAAAGGGAAAGAAGAGGCAGGGCTCCTGGGCCCCTTGGCCTGGTCCAGCTGTTTTGCTCGCTGCCCCGCACTCCACCTGGGAGCAACCTTGCATATCCCCTGCCACAAAGGTAGCTGCCCCTTCCATACAATCTAATCTTGCATACAGATCAGAAGATGGTGTACCTTGCCGCCTTTTACACCTGGGAGACCCTGTGGCCCCGGAATTCCTGGGGAGCCTTGTTCTCCTTTAGGTCCCTGGAAATAAAAAGGGGAGAAAGGACGTGAGGAACAGAGCAGAGGCAGATGCCCATACAGGAATCTGTGCAGCAACTAGGGATGAGGAAGGCGAACAACCAGAAAGCTTCTTGTGAGGCTGTGTCAGCTGCGTTCACAAAGGGCATTTGGGCATTTGGCACCAAGAAAACTGTTCGAAGCCGGTGACAGCTGCTGCTGATTGCGCTGATTGTTTTTGCCACATTTCATAGAGGCACACTCAATTGACCAAGCAACAAGCCACCAAATCGAGTATATTGATGAGATACTTCCAGTCAAGATGCCCCCACCCTCTGGTCCGCCTCTTGGACCAAATAAGGGAGCTGCGCCCACAGAATAATAGGACTTTTTTCCTGCTGAAAGGGACTAGTGCTCTTCTTTTGCTAGGAAGTCAAGTTGGAAGCCCAAGACAGTAAAATGGTTTATAAGGTATGGAAGTAATACAACTAAGAGCAGGCCTTCCCTGGAGTACAAGGGGCTTTCTCTTCTCTCCCCAAAGCAGAGGAAGACTTATCCAGCCAACACTGAAGCCTCCACGCGGGGATCTTTGGCATTTGATCCCTGGGAGAAGAAAACCACATTTTGCTCCCTTCAGTAGAAATCCGGTTTGTTTACCTTTTTCACCCTGAAGATCCCACAGCACTGGCTGCTTCCTCTGATCATAAACTCTGGCAAGTTCATGAATGAATGTTTCTTCTTAAATGCCTTGTTTACACGCGCACATTTCAACATTGTAAAGCTGCACTGCCCTCTTCATTCATCAACCCTGCAGTGGATTGAACCTCCAGGAATTTAGACTACATCTCCGAATTTACATTACATCCCTGACCCTTGCCCACTCTGACTGGGGCTGATGGGAGTTGACGTCTGAAACATCTGGGAGGCTACTGGGTTGGAGGGCTGTTGTAAAGGTTTAGTACTTCTGCAGAATGTGCTGCGAATACCATTCCAACCTTCCCCTTCAGTTGTACATCTCTCCCCTTTGGCACGGCAGAAATGTAACAAGGGACTTTTCTGACTGCATTATTTCCACCCCAGGCTGATGAGCGGACTTCCAGGAGGCGGAGACTTTGCTAACATGAAGCTCACATGATAGGGCAAACCCCACCCATTTCGTGGCATCTTTTTATCTCTCTCTAAATAGATGGCATCCAAAACACTCGGGCTTACGGCCGCGAGAGATTCGTGGCAGCTACAGCCCTGCCTCTGACGTGGGCCCGTTTGCACATGCTCAAGCGACTCTACAGTGAAATCCAGCTTTAAAGATGGGTAAGAATCTGGTTTTATGATGGACATGGATGGGTGAGGGAACGATTTCATGCATGTTTGGAGAGGAAAAATGCCTACAACTCGCTGCATGTCCCTGCCAGCTAAATGCGGCTGTGGCGCGTCTTCCTCTCTGGACTCCGCCCTGCCGCTCTGAGCACTTCCGTTTACCCCTCGCTCCTGGGAGCAGCCACTGAGACCAGCCAGGCCAGTTGCACTGCAGCCCGTGTCTATAAATAATTCTTATCGGTGCATAAATAAAGAGCACGGCCCTAAGCAGGAATGGAATAAAATGCATTGCCTAAGCACTGGACTGCCGCCTCGGCCTTTGAGTGTGATGGGACAGGTTGTCTCTCGAAACACCGGTTTCGTAGTTGCAGGACTCGCAAAAACTCTTTCTCTAAGTTGGCCGATTGCCCAAGCTGCATGGTGCTGGCACATCTTTGGCAAGGCCTTTTCTGAGGAGACAGACGCATCTGGTATGGGAATGCACCTTAATTTTTACTGATGTGCATCCTCTTTTAATTCCTCTTTCTGCTTCCTGGAACTTAATGCACAATCAGCACAAATGGATTTTCTGTGCCATTTTGACAGTTAAAAGACTGACATTACAACTTTGGAAAGATAAACACTCACATCCTGCAATGTGACAAACCGAAGACATTTCCATGTCTCCAGCACTGGAATAACTGGCGTATAGACAAAGGCCAAATGGATCCTTTATAAGGATTTTGTTGAAGTTTATGAATAGTTCTTAACAAGCTGCATTTCCATACACGCAAAGACACACTTCATATTGTACGCACTGGAGCTGACATATTCAAATCTATGCAACTACAAGGTTTTCTCCCTGTCCCTGTCCTTGCCCCTGACCCTCTCTTTTTTCTTTTCTTTTCTCTTCTCTTTTTTTCTTTTCAGTTGAAATTTTACAATAAAAAAATGGGGAAAGCTCCACCCAGTCTCTGCCAATCACCCCCACGGGCGCCCCTGCTGCCCCGCCCACCCCTTATCGTCGCTGCATAAATAAATAGCACAGACTTGAGCAGGAATGGAACAAAATGGATTGCCCTGCCATTTTACCCGTTTTAAGCTCTCTTTTAAGCAGGAAAAACCGTGCTGCATTTTGGCAGCAACTGAACCGGCCAGCTGATGCTCCGGCTAGCTGATCATTCCTGCTTGTCAGAAAAGGGAAACTGCCAACTGGAAGCCCACATGGCAGGAGGTGAAGACTGAGCAGCTGGTCAGGGGGACCTTTCTGGTGCTCCTTCACTCCTTCCAGGCTCTCAGCTTTCCTTCGGGGAGCCAAGCCTCCCAGCACCCGACCTCTGGCACAGCTCTTTCACTCTGTTTGCAGCGTGCCAGGGAAAATGGCAGCCAGAAGGCTGGGGGGATGCTGCTCTCGGCAGCTGCATCATTCCGCAGCGTGAAAACGAGCAAAGGCGTGGCCATGCCAAGCCGTGCGCCTTCTGCAGCAGGAGTCTCTCTGGCATCACATACCGATGCTGTTTAAAGGCCTCTTTGGCCTGACCGGCTGGCTTTGAATTTGGACCCTCCCATGAACTCACCAGGACATCTTAGTTCCCTCTTTTAATCACCCTAAAACTTGTTGCTGTCCCCCTTTTAAATCCAGATGTGTCTCATGGCTCAAAACGTAGGAAGAGGCCTGGGAGCACAGCAGGCCACATGGGTCCCTCTGGCATGTGCTGTTCCATTCCAGCCTTCCCAAACCTGGGCTGGCTTGGGGCTTATGGGAGCTGTAAGCCAACACATCTACGCGAAGTATTTTCGGAGTTGGCTGGGCAATTGTGGGTGTCGTGGTTCAATGCATCTGGAGGGCACCCGTTTGGAGAAGGCGGATCTGTGCAGACTGGCCCGGCTCTGCAGAGAAAGGCCATTTCCATCCCTGCCACCTGTTTGTTCCACCTGGGAGTGCCAAGTGGAGCCAGCTCCGTGGGAGGCTCTCCCAGTGCACCAGGGAGATGCTGCAGCAGGTGTTCTGGGGCTTGGGGGAGACTTAAGGTGCGCCTCCTGGTTACCTCTGGTTGCCATTGCCATTGCCAGCTAAGCTTGAAGAGGGACACAATGAATGTGAGGACGCAATGAGAGGCCCCTCGCCTCAATGTGGGAGCTCACCCTGCTCCAAAGACTGAGGCTGTGCCTTCGCCGTGCAGCACAAATGATGTGCCACTCAAATACGGTCCTCTCTGGGGAGACACATGCTCCGGGAGGAAGCAAAAGTGGTCGAGCACCGCCAGGATGCTGCCCGGCATCTGGACAGTTGGCCACGAATGGGTGTCAAAGGAAGGGGAATCCAGGCACTGAGGCTGGTTTTTCCAGCCTCTCCAAATGTCAGCAAGGAGAAAAGCACAGGAAAATGACGGCCTCTCGTGGAGGCGAGAGCTCTCGCTTAGGGGCTCGGATTCCTTCTGGGAGAGAAGGAACACATTTAAATCCAGCTTCTCCGGATTCAGTCATACTCACCGCTTTCCCCTGCAGCCCTGGAGGACCCACCGCTCCTCTCTCGCCCCGATCTCCCTGCAAGAGAGACAACGAAAAGTCGCCCTCCTCTCTGTTGTTGTTGTTGCTAGTCGCAAAGCCGTGTCTGACCCATCGCGACCCCATGGACGACGCTCCTCCAGGCCCCCCTGTCCTCCACCATCCCCCAGAGTCCACCCAGCCCCACAGCCACCTCCCCAGTGACCCCGTCCAGGCACCTCACCTTCTGCCGTCCCCTCCTTCTTTTGCCATCTTCTCTCTTAACTAGGAGCTAAACATGTGCAGGGTAAAGAGCCCATTTCCAGGCCCCTTCTGACTCGCTCTGTTTCTGTGTTTCTGTGTTTCTACCCAAATCCCAGCTCCTGCATGGAAAATCACACCTGCCCTGAACAAAACCTCCCTGTTGAGTAGGGGAACTCCTCACTTTGCAGAAGCCCCTAGAAAAGCCCAGGAGGACTGGTGCAATTAAGCACACCAGCTAAATCCACTGCCCACCCAGAGCCATCATGCTAACCGGGTCATGCAGAGGAATGCGCTCTAGAGACGTACTTTCATACCAGCAACCCCTGGTGGCCCTTCTTCTCCTTGAGGTCCCGGCTCTCCCTAAATAGAGTGACCAAAAGAGAAGACATTAGCAGAGTCGGATTCGAGAAACACGGCCCTTTGCCTTGTGGCAGGAACAGCAATGATTGCCGTCCCATGAAAGCAAGGTGGCTCACGGACAGCGTGACATTAATCAAGGGCACAATCCTATGCCAAGCCATGCTGGGAGTTGTAGGATTTTTTTTTGCTAACCTGCATAGGATTGTTCCCTAAACATCATTAACCGCATGAATCCTGGAGGTGCCTCAGACCTTTTGTGGGTGTTGCTTATGGGATTTCATAGGATCGTGCTGCCCCCTGCTGTCCAAAACAGAAACCTGCAAGCATCAACGGGGGTTTCCGCATTGCCCTTCTTTTGCTATTTGAACGCAAGATCTGTTATCAACCAATGAAGCGCCACTGAGCTTCTCTCTGGGCACGGGAAATCCCGATTTAATTTATTGATTTCCAGTGTTCCAGCATTGGATGCAATCAAGGCAGCTGACAGAACCAACCAACAGTGAGTAAGCAAAACATGACGACAATATTGATGAAGAGCTCACACACAAAAATCCGGAGCAAGATGACTCACACAACCAAGGTAGCTGTGTTGTCTGCCATACACTTTTAAAAGTCTGCAAAGAAACTCCCCTTTCAGTGCTTGCTGACGCAATTTGGGGACCAACTAAACATGACACTAAATATTGTGGGGAGGGGGGGAGCTGCAATGGTTGAAGGGCATGGGGGGGGCAATGGGCTGAAACTCCCGGGGTGACCGGGTGGTGCGCTGCCTCCTCCATCCTAAGTAGTGCATGTCTGTGTGTGTTTTGGGGGGGGGGGGGAGGTTACTGGAAGTTCAGGGCCTCTCTGCCCATAATGGCCCCAATCCTGCCCGCGTCCTGCTTCTCTGGCTGTTACACGGTGTGCCCTCTCAGTGCCGTAATGCATGCAACCCCAAACGACCCTGGCTGGCAGGACTGGCTCCAGAGGGCATGTGGCATCTTCCCCAGCGAGCTGCCTGGGGCCAGGGGGCTTCTCGTTCCACACAGCAGGCAGGGGCCCCAGGCTGGGAAAGGGCTTCACTGAAGGTGATGCCCTATAAAGCCCTAAATGGCTTGGGTCCTGGATCCCTGTAGGCGCAGCTTCTCCCCGATGTGCCTGCCCACCATTTGCTAGCCGCGGCAGAGGTCCTTCTCTGGGAGCCCTCTAAGAAGGAAGTTGGGAGGGTAGCTACCCAGAGAAGGGCCTTTTCGGTGGTGGCACCCTGACTTTGGAACATGCTCCCCAGGGAAGTTCACCTGGTGCCATCACTTTATTCTTTTTGGCATCAAGTAAAACTCTTCTTATTTTCCCAACATGTTAACATTTAATTGGTTTTATCTTTGTTTTTATCATTAATGGTCGGATGCAGTGTGTTATTTGTTGGTATGTTGTTGTTTTTTGTTTTCTTTGGGGGGGGTGGTTGCAAGCTGTCCAGAGACTCAGGTATTGGACAGCATATAAAAACTTTAAACAGGCAAATAATAAATAAATAAGGGCACACCTCACCCTTGTCCACCCCGGGGTGGGCCCTCCATGCCTCAGAGGAAGCTGGCTCTGAAATGGGGCAGGGTCATTTTCAGAGGATGGGTCCCTAGAGGGGCATTGGCCATTCCGGCCCAGCAGAGCCTCTGCCAGGGGAGCAGGGGAGGTGGACGGGCTGCCTCCATGCCCTCCCAAACGCTGGCGCGGCCATGCTGGAAAAGGCATGCGGGGCTGTCTTTGACGGCTGGCCCCGTGCTCTAACCCATCCAGGTGTGCTCTGCACTGTTTCACAGCTGGACCAAACCTCGCCCGCAGCAGTCCTGCCACAAGGGGGCCTGCCAGGGAAAGCCAACTGGGTAGCTATGAAGAAAGGGGCCTTTTCTGCTGTGGCCCCCAACAGTGGAATGATTCTCCCGGCACCTCTACGTTACTCTTTTTCCAACGCCAGATGAAGACCTTCTTATTTTCCCAGGAATTTTCATTTCAGTCGAAGTCTGCATTGTATTTTTAAATCTTTTTGCTGCTGCAGAGTCTTATTTGAATTCTATTTTGTACTGCAAGTTTGATTTCGATTTTATACTCTATTTTATGCTGCATTGTAGGTTTCTCCATTGTCCTAAATTGCCATGAACTCAGCTACTGGGCAGTACCAATGAAATGAAGAAATGAATGAAGCAGCAAACGGGGCAAATGCTGAATTCTGGGAATGCCGATGAGCTGTACATTTTAAAAATGCAAACAGCCGCCCTTGTGAGGCAGGGTGAACATGTGGGAGACAGCGAGCGAGTGTCACTTTTCCTCCTTGCGGTCACCCCAAAGAAAGACACTTCCAGTGGCACAAGCAGGAGAGCATCCAGCTGGGCCATGGGGCGATTTCAGCAGGGATCACAGAGGAAGGGAAAGTCTAGACTCCTTGCTGCTCATGGCCCCCTTGGCTGCTGCGATTGCTGCACCCTTTTGAGTGCCAGTCTCTAGCCTGCAAAACCAGATTCGGGACCTTGGCCTGCCTCATAATGGCCTTGGCTGCCCTGCTCTTGGCAAGCGGGCTTCGAGCGAGTCCCTGCGTTCAGTGGCGCTGGCCCACGGCCTTGCAGGGGAGCCTCTTTGCAGCAGAGGCCCTGCAGTTTGGGTTGTGCGGATGGAGTTGCCATTCTACAGATGCATTCTTCGTAGCAACAGCCATCTTAGCTCCATGAACAGTGCCTCTGAGCATGTGGCGTGTGCAACCTCATAAGTCTTTATGGAGAAAGTACAGCCCATGCACCAAAAATAGGTCTGTGAACAGCAGAATAGGAGCAGATACCTTCTATGTTTCATCTCTGCTATGAGGTGTTAAGACATACTCAGGGGTTTTATTATACTAAGTGGTATATAAGTACAAGTCATTCATTCATTCAAAGAAAGCAATAAAGTGAAGGAAAAGCAAAATTCTAATGGAGGAAAACTTGATCAGGCAGGTCCCTGTTGCTTTGCAGTGTCCTTGGCATTAAAGTTTAAGCAAAGAAGCGAGGGAGAGGGAGAGGGAGAGCTCTTTTACTTACAATTTTCCCCGGTGACCCAGATAAACCTGGCAAGCCGCGCTCCCCTGGTTCACCCTGTTAAGACAACAAGCAGCAGCATTTAGAGCATTCAGCGGCCCTGCAGCTCTTCAGGCGTGGCCCTGAAGGAGCCGGGGGCTGATTTATGTGTGGCTTACAAGCAAAGACAGACAGACAGACACGGACACAGATGACGCACCTTGTCTCCGGGGCCACCTTTAGATCCAGGTGTGCCTGGCAAGCCCTGTGGGGGGAACAAGAAAAGGCCAAGCCTGTGGTGAGACCCGCGCCGTGTTTCTTGGTTTGGGAAGCAGGGTTTCGGGGCACTGACCCTGCGTTCAGTTCGCTCTAAGAGAAGCTGAACGGTGTGACTGCAACTTGTTGGTGGCCGGGATCATCTGCTCAAGTCCACCCATCATTTCATATAAAAGGCAGACTTTCTGCAAGCAGTCATATGGCGAAGGTAGCACAAGGGTTCTTTAGAATGCGATCCACAGACGCTTGCCAGGGAGTACTTCCTTTCGAAATAATTGATTTACTTTGAAGTAAACATGCACAGGTTATTCCCAGAGAATATCCCATCTCTGCAATGCCTGCCCATTCCTGGTGCCAAGCGCCCATTTCAGCTACAGCCTAAGCTTCTCTGAACCAGTTCGTAGTGCAAAATTTTCAATTATCCTTCCTATTTTCTGCCAGTGCAATTTCCACTGATAGTCACACCTTTTCAACAAAAGTCTCGTGATTTCATATGTAGGAAGAGGTTGTCTCTTTGTGGGGGGGCGGGGTCATTTTTTTTGTCTGCTTGTTTGGAATGAAATAGCAGTGGAGCAGCTGTTTTCTACCAATGGATTGACTGAGCTGGTTGGTTCTGAAGCAGGAAGTTGCAAGCTACCTTCAGCCAGTGCAATGAAAAGGGCGTGTCCATCTGTGTCAATGTTGGTCCAAGCGGAAAAGGAAAAGTCGCCTGCTCATATGCTGCACTGGATGCTCCCCGAGAGGCCCTTCAGCACCCTGGGCAGGGATTTTCCCGGGGAGAGCGTAGGTCCGGGCACCCTCCCCTTTCAGGCATAGCTCCCGAGAGTTTCCCACCGCTTCGTCTTCATTTTTCATCACCACAGAAAATCCACTAAAGAAATTGAGATGGAGCAATCGCTCGAGGCCTTCTGGCTGTTAACTCCAGGATGCCTTCACCTGCAAGTAGCCCTCTATGATTCTGTTCCTCTTTCTTATTTGTTGAAATCTATGCATTATTGTTATTCTTGGGAAGGAAATGGTTGGGAGAGGAAAAGTGGGGAAAGTTTGTTTATACAATTAAAACGTCAGTAAGTTGTTAATTATAATGAAGATGAAATGACATTACCGCTAATCCTCGGTGGCCCGGTGGCCCTGGAAGTCCTGGTTGGCCTGCACTTCCCTACAAGCCAGAATAAGAAATGCTGTGACCATAAGGAGCAAAGAGTGCAAGAAATGTTTGCAATCCACCTGTAAGACTGGCTTTTTTCACCTTTAAAAAACCCCAAACTCCCTTGCAAAAAGCTGTCACTGCTAGGAATTAGAGTAGCATCTCTTGGCTCACAGAGATGTGGGGTCTGGGGCTGTTGTTGCGAGCCATCAAGTCGTCTCTGACCCGGGGTGCCCCTCACAATGTCCGATCCTTGACAGCCCGGCTCAGCTCCTTTCTGAAATCAGTCCCTCTTGTATTTGATCTCCCGCTTCTTCTGCCTTCCACTCTCCTAGCACAGCAGTGAAAAGGCTAAGTGACAGGCCAGGAGGTCTCCAGCTCAAATTGCCCCCCTGCCGTGAAAACACTGAGTGGTCTCCAGCAGGCCAGCCTGCCTGAGCCCCGTTGCCCGCACCTTCGATATCTGGGATGCCCATGTGCCCCAGATCACCTCACAGGGCTGGCACGAGGGTTATGACTACATCATGCCTGTGAAGGGCGTAGAGGAAGAGGAGAGACTCCCCCAGCCCTTGTGTGCCCTGGCAGCCAGCTACCTGCAGAGCAGAAGGTCCATCGCAGGTGGGTGTTCCCTAGCAACCGCAAAGGAAGCACTCAACAAGGCCTGCGTGGCCTAGCCACTACCAAAGGATGCCGCAGACTCTGTTGCTTAGCAACCACCACACCTGGATGGAGATCACCTTTCACAGACATTGCATGGCCCCTGCAGTCCACCTGGCTGAGACAGGGGCAAGCACCCAAACAATTTTTAAAAACTGGGGGGAGGTCACAGAAAGGGAGAAGTGCATGTGGGGTGGGCTTTGTTCCACACATTAGCATTCTGAAAGAAAGGGGGAAATGTTTAGGGGGAAATTCGCTTTCTTTCTCTCGCCCATTTCCCACCCTCTGGTGCCATCGTATCCTTTCATTAGAATGTGTTTATTTATTGATGGCACATTGAGACAGAAGGAAGTCCTACAGTTCCCAACATCCCCAAGTCAACCATGGCTGGCTGGGGAAAACGAGGCACGGTAGGACCCTTCTGTGTCTAAACACACATAGGATTGATTGCATCCTAAATGCACAAAAGCAACCTAAAATGCCTTTCTCTAGGCTTTACAGCAACCTAACAAGGTAAGATCCCAATGAAATCAGAATTATAAAGTAATAAGGAAATGCAATTAGTTTTGCTTATTGTTGACACTTTTGGCCACAGGGCAGGTGCAGAGGGAGAAGTCTGGGCAGACAGGAATTTCCAAAAACAGGTATGGACAGACCCATACCTGAGAAAACAGAGTGTCACTTCTGTTTGTGTCTTTTTCTGAGGGTTTTTTCTTACCTTCACCCCAGGAATTCCAGGTGTGCCATCTTTACCATCAATTCCAGGAAGACCCTGCAAGAAAAGTATGGGGGGGAATCATATTACTTTAATAGAAATGCACCTGTCTGTTTCCATGTTGTTCTACCCAGAGCAGGAAATCACGCAGGCTCTTCTGCGAGTTTCTCCGGGTGTCCAGTTGGAAAAGACAATGCTTACCCGTGTCCCCTTCGGTCCCATCTCTCCCTGAGGGCCCTGGAAACCACGAGCACCCTAAAACATCAATGCAGAAAAGTCCCAGTGTTACTATGCACCTTATCCGAATACCTCATGCAAAAACTCATGCAAAATCTGCCTTCTCTGTCTGAAATGGCCACCCACAACTTGCTTCACTTGGAAAATATCAAAGGGTAGGCTTTGGCTGCAAAGAAGAGAGGAGGTCCTGGGACATCAGGCACCCCTGGGGTTTCTGCCTATGGAAATGCAGTATAAGGTAGAGAAACACATATGTGAAGATTTAATGGTGGCTCCCTGAGGAACCAGCGTAGCTGGCCCTGGACTGGCTGGAACAAGCACCAGCACTTCGTTTATTAGCAGGGCCGCTGACATGATCCGCCACTGTGCTGGGGAATCTCTGTCTCTCGGAGGTTCTCTACAATCCACACAACAGCTGTGGGGAAGGAATTTTCCAGCAACAATATATTGGCTTGTTCAGCAATGGGCAGTTAAGGCCCATTCACTTTATGATAGCCCTGCTGCTGATGGAGATGAAAACCGCTAAGCCTAGTTTGTGTATTTGCACCAACACAGCTGCCTGCACTTTTGGATTCTCCCTGTGCTGGCTTTACTAGAACCCACAGTTCAATGTTTGCCATGACACCACAGGCTAAACGGAGCTCCCATTTACAAAGGCAGTATATCTTTGAGTACCAGAAGTGGGGAACAGAACTTAGAGAGACATCTCTCTGCCTGCTGTCAGAACTGAAACACCTGATGAAACAGACTGTACTCTGATCCACCAAGGCAGTTCTTCTGTGCCAATATGAAAACGTTTGGAAAGTTCTGACCCAGCTATTTTCTCCTGGGCAGAAGTCCAGGAATCGGGGTTAAAGGAACAGAGACAGTGGGGGGGGGGGGTGCATGACCACCATGGCGTGTTTATGAATGTGGGGAGGGGGGTGCATTTGGATAAACCTCAGAAGCACAATTCATAATGCGACAGGGATTTCAGGCCCTTCTCCAACTGCCGCAGGGGGGCTGGAATCCACTTAATCCCTTTGGCGCCAAATACAAGCCAGCATGCACCTTTGTCTTGACACTGGCCCCGTTAATGAGCAGGTGGGGAGGAAGCACAGTTGGTGGCAGTTTGGCTGAAAAGATGGGGGGAAGAGCAGCATTCCTCAGTACTGTGGGGCATGAAGGAGTTGCGGAGAGAATGTCAGGACCCTCCTCCTTGCAAGTTCTCAGGAGAAGAATTTGCAAAGGAATCAGAGATGCGGGACAGGGAATGTGGCAGGATGGGGAGCAAGTTGAAAAATGAGATTTATGGAAGTAGTCATAAGCACTAGATTGGGGCATGCCTTGCCCCCTCCACAAGGGCTCCCTTTCAGCAGACTTCCACACCTACAAGTGCAGGTTCCTGCCTCTGGAAGCAATGAGGTGGGGTGGCAGTGTTGCCTAGTGGTGGCCACATGCCATCTGCAAAGGCACCAGGTTTGGTCTTCAGCATGTCTGGATGGCGCTGGGAGAGGCCTTGCCCACCACCCAGGGGAATGACTGCCAGTCAGTGCAGGCCAGTGGTGCTCAGTCAGCGATCCCCTGCCATGTCGGACAGGGAAACCCATCATTCCCACCCAGCACAGCCATTGGCCACGCTGGCTGGAGGTGATGGGGGTGCGGCCCAGTTCTTCTGGCTGGCAGCAGGCTGGGAAGGCTAGTGGAGGTTGAACAATATGGACAGATGGGCTGAGGTGGGCCACTGCCCCCAGAGTTGCCACGCACGCACCCCCTTGTGCATCCCCAGCAGGAATCAGGCGCAGGAGCTTTCTCCAGTTCCAAGGCAGGCCACCTTGAGCTATGTTCGATTCGGTGGGCTGCGAGTTCCATGCCAGCCGACTAGCCAGGAAGGTTAGTCTGCTGGGAACGTGACGAAGAGTTCACAGGGATCTGGAGTCCCGGCAGACAGAAGTGCCACAGGCACAATCTGCCTGCCTTGGAAGCTGCAGACAAGTTCAGTGGTGCAGAAAGAGGCCACTCGGGGCAGCCGCACTCCGTGGCTGCCGCTTTGCGAGGGGCGAGATGCAGGCCAAGGGGAGCGATCCAGCCCTGCCAGCAGCTCCGGGCAGCTGCTTCCCTCCCCTTTCCCTGGCCACCAGCTGTTCGGTGGTTTGCCTGCATGAGTGTGGTTTCGCCTGCCTCTTAGCACTCGGCTCTCCTCAGGCTTCACTCCTGGTTGTAAGAGCTGCAAAGTGGGGCTTCCCCAGCGTGGCCCCTTAAGCTTTCGTCCCCCTCCACACCTGGAATGCAGCCCACAGAACTTTTTCAAAATAAAATGGGGCCTGGGAGGACAGAGGCTCAACAGCAAGCCCTTCCAGGCGCAGCTCGAGATGCTGCTGATGGCTGACGACGCTGCAGGCGGGCCTGGCAGAGAGCGCCTCCACCCCTAGTCCCATCATCCCCTGAAGACTGGCCAGGAGGGGCTCCTGAAGCACTGCCCAGTAAGCATCCAAGCAGGCTGCTGACTAGACTCTCCCTGCCCCCCGCTCAGGAATCCCCGTGCCAGGGGCTTCCCCAAGCCTGGACCGGTGCGCCGGGCCCTTTGCATTCCAATTCAGTTTGGTGGCCAGGAATAGGGCAAGCAGGACTTGAGAAGTAGCACCGTAAGGCAGTGAGAATGCGGGACTAGGACCAAGGAGGATCTGGGTTCAAATGCCCTCCAGGTGTTCTTGGGTCCATCACCATTTCTTTCTGCTTCTCCAGGATAAGAGCGGGAAAGCAGCTGTGCTCTGCCTGGGCAGCACGGACTATGGGTTCAACTGTAATTGTCACAGGTGGCATGACTCATCCATTCATTCCAAGCCAGGGGTGAGGCATCTGTAGAAACTGGGGGTGCACTCCGATGACTGCCACAAGCCCTTGAGCCCCTGGGATATGGGCTGAGAGGAGCGCTTCAGAACTAAATTAGATTACAGTTCAAATTAGTGCCTTTGGCACAGAGCTGCTTTTCTTGTGAAGATTAAACTTAATGCTTCAGCAGAAGGTTTTACTCACGAGGTCTCCCTTCTCGCCAGCCTGTCCTGGTGGACCCCTAGGGCCTTCTTCGCCCTAGAACAAATATGTTAAACATGCTTTGGTTAAAGAGAAAACGGCCTGGGGTGGGGAATAGAAAGAGAGGGGGAGAATTTTCAAGCTTCCTTCATCGTTCAATTTGGAAAATGCAGAACCCAGCAGATATATCCCTGCCATATAATTCCACCCATTTCTGGAGATGGAACTGGGAAGGCCTTCTGCCTCCACACCGAACTATCCTGGAGACCTGAGCAACACCTCCCCATGTCCTTTGATTCTGGGGGACAACACAGAAAGCCTGTCTCCTGGAGTGGGTGTGGGGCAGAGCCTTCTCCACCAGGATGTTCCAGCGTTGGCATACCCACTTTCCAGAGGGTTCATTGAAAGTTAAACTCTTTAAAGGTTTCTTTATTCTATTTCAGTGTAGGCTCCTTGTATTAATGCTGTCACTTGCCCTGGATTTTTTTTAATGATGGGTGGAAATACATAGAACAATGCAATCCAGCAACAAAATGGATTTTAGATGGGTCACAACTGTGAGAGGAGTCCCCACTGGCCTGCAGCGCCTTCGGCATGAATGGAACTGAACTGCTGAGTTCCCAGTCAAAGATGGGAGATACTCAGCTCAGCGACACTACAAGCGGGAAGGATCTTGGGACTGTGGCTGCCCACAGGCTGAGCACGCGTCAACCATGTGATGCGGCTGCAGAAAAGGCAAGCGCTATACGGGGCTGCATTAGCAGCAGCGCTGCTTCTGCACCGTGGGAGGCACGAGCTCCCTCCACTGGGCCCTGGTGAGGACCCTTCACAAGGCTGCGCTCAGGTCTGGGCACTGCACTACAAGAAGACGCAGGCAAGCCGGGAAAAGGGGACGGTGAAGATGACCAGGGGTCTGGAAACAGCCCTGTGGGCCCTGCGGAAGGGCAGCTTAGTAGCGTCCTGTATGGGAGGCACCTTGGGTGTGTGAAAGATGCACGAGAACCGGCACTCCCTGCTTCACATGCCGCAACAACCCCATTCCCAAGTTTGAAGGGAGAGGGCACGGGAGAAGAGGGTGGGGTGCGCATGGCATCTCCTCTCCATGCATTTAAGGACTTCCTCTGGAGTTTCCTGGGCTCCTTCGGGCCCGTGCTGCGGAGTGGAACATGGTTCCATAACTTAAGATGCAGGGGACCTTGGGGGCGTGAGAAGAGCGGCCCGTTTTCATTCCCTTCCCGGTTCTGATCTGGTTCTGATCTGCCACACTTCAGCAGCTGCCTCTGGCAAACCCAGGGAACAGAATGCCCCCCACCCCGCCCCCCGTGCAGATTCAGGACGAGCCCAAGACGGCTCGCTGCGGAGGTCCTCTGCCCTTTCCGCATACAGAAACAACCCTGATGATGAGCTTGACCACATTGCCACCGACGGGAGTCCAGCAGAGGCCTCGCGAAGAAGTCGGGGTGGGCTGTCTTGCACATGCGGCTCTGCCCTCCCAAAGGGGCAGGGGCTGCAGGGGGAGTGGGCAGAGTGTTGCTGGCCCCCAGCCAAGGCCGCCTTTGGCCAGCTGGCCAGCTCTGCCTAACAGCAGGGCTGTCCCTGGGGAGGGGTCCAGGGGGGATGTGGAGGATCCACCGGGGCTGGAGGAGAAAGGAGGGAGGAGCAAAGAGTTACCGGGGGCCCTGCCTCTCCAATGGTTCCCAGCATGCCTTTGTAGCCACGGGGGCCCTGCGAAAACACACAATAAAGAGCAGGTATCAATGCACGACATTCACTTCCCGCAAAGGTCTGCGCCTACAACTCAGTGCAACCGGATGATGCCGACGCCGCTCCCCTTGGTGGGGCTGCAGAGATCCGGAACGGAAGAACCCAGCAGGCACCTCTCTGCTCTGCTCTGCTCTACTCTGCCCCTCACCCAGGCCCAGACCCCAGCCTCAGACTGGGCGGGTGGAGGGAGCGGCGTCCCGGCTTCCCTGGGCCAAGGAGGGACCAGGATGCCCAAGCCCAGTCACGACCATTGGCACAGATTAGACGGGACGGGTGTGCAGGGCCGGGCCTTGTGGCTGGGCAGAAGGTGGGCCTGGCTTTGCTGGTGAACTGCCGGTAGGGCAGTCAGCAGGTCAGGATTTCTGTTTCACAGCAGCACAAATAAAATGGCCCCACCCCAACCTTGACACACACACACACACACACACACACACACTAATCTGCATTGCTGAAGCAAGGCGAGCTTGGAGTAACCAGGTGCGGGTTCTCGGTTGGGGTTCTGCTCCTCAGAACAAATTGCTGAGCTCAGAGTCCTTCTCTGGCTGTGTCTCTTGTCAGGCACTGGCTGGGTGATCTTAGCAGAAAACAACGTAAAAGACCAAGCTGACCCATCCTGCGCGCCCTGCAACACCGGGCAGAGGTCTTGGAGAGCTGCTGCCAGGAACTGAGGTAGACAGTCTGCCCTGGCATAGCACAGCCTCCAGTGAGCCCCTGCCAAGCTTGGGATGCAGCCCAGGAGGCCTAGTTTCTCCCCCGTGGCCTCCCGTGCCTTGCACGCTGCCATGCGTAGAGGCAGGGTGTGGAGGGACGCAGCACCAGACAGCTTAATTAGCACGGCTGCTGGCATGATCTGCCACCAAGCCCCTCGGACCTCCTTTTCCCTCCAAGCTCCATTGCAACTCGCAGGAGGAAATTTTGTTTTACAAAATATTTAATGGCGGACTGGTCTTTAATGGGAATTAAAATCCATTCACTTTACAAAAGACCCTCTCCTGGAGGAGGTGAAAACTGCCGAGTTGTTCATACGGATCAGCCCAGCAATGTGGAATTTTGGTCAATTTCAGGTGGTCGTGAGGCATCCACATTCCAGACTACGCTGCCGGGCCCACGATCTGGGCAGTCCCATGCCTGAGAAGAGGTCGCTGGCTCCATGGAAAGGCCTCGCAAAAGCTGCAGCACTGCATCATCTCTCCCATGGCCCAACCACAGGCAGCAAGTGACTCTGGGATGACTAATGTACAGACGTGAACCAGCCCTAAACACCTGAACTAGCAAACAGGCCCTCTCGCCCTACTTGCATATTAATGAATCTGGTTATTATATTAGGAAAGCACTAACGCTGGGCCTCTGCAGAACAGCATGCCCTTAAGGCCGGTTAGACCGCTGGACTGTGACTTGCTTGAAAGGCCCAGCCCCGTGGCTGAGCGGGGACTAGAGGGTCAGGGCCTGCCTCTCAGCCACCCCGACCTCTCAGGGTTGTTGAGAGGATAAAACAAAGAGAAGGATTGCGTAAGTTGGGTTCTTTGCAATAAAAATGGTGGCAGGTACATTAAACCAATAAAACACTGGCTACCTTCCGGAACACTGGGGAAAGTGTGACTTGGATGGGCTGCACCAGAAGCTGGTTTTTGAGTGTGCGTGCGGGTGGCCGTGGGCGGGTGGCCGTGAGCATCAAAATGGTGGTGCTGCTTTGTGTTCACACCACAGAACCTGGAAGTGGCGCACTGCGGAGTGTGCTGATCAACACATCCGCCGTTTCCGTCCTGCCCGGTGCACCTACCGTCTCTCCTTTAGGCCCTTCCATTCCAGGATATCCCCTCGGACCCTGCGGGCCCTGTGAAAGGAAAGCAAACCAGGGCTGGATTAATCACTGAGCTTCCGCAGTTCAGGTCACCTCTTGTAGCAAAAGCTGCTCGGCACCCCCCACTGCCCCCCCACACACACACACCTCCTGCTTGCCCCATCTGTCGCCTTGGAAAACGTCCGTCCATGGATGAAGCGTGGGAAGGCATTATCCCACAAGATTAATCGCCAGCTTCCCCCACCCATCTGATTCACTGATTATCTTCTAATGCTCTTACTTTCAGCCCAGAACCCCATTCGGGACATTAGTTTAATAATGGCATTAGCTCAAAACCCTGCACCATTTACTCAAGCAAAAGAAAAAATTTCCACCAGCTTCCAAAGCAAAAGAAAAATGTTTCCTTGTTAATACATTATTATCATCAAAGCAGAATAGCTTTTAATTAATGAATTACACCGAGAGTGTAAACACTGAGAACAGAATTATGTTAGGGGAAATTGCTGGCACAAAATGCATATATTAGGCAAAACTGCAGAGGAATGGTGTATACTTGGAGTAGGGCAGGTGTAAGCCCTGGAACCAGAGAGGCAGGCTGTTGGGACCTCCTGTGGAGGCTAGTGGGCCAAGTTGCCATCCCACTGGCCCTGCCCAGCTGCCTAGAGAAGGAGCCCCAGAGCAGAAAAGCGGGGAAAGACCCTCTCCCAGGTTCATCACTTGCGAGCTGAGCTAGCTGTGCAGGTTGCCAGGTCAGGGATCGTGGCTTCCCATTGGCTGTCATACCCCTTTGGGTGAAACTGCTTTGGGGACGGAGATTGGCTTTGGCAGTTTTGCAGGCAGGGGGCTGGCTTCTCCCCTCCATTCTGGCTTGGTGCCCAGGAGAGAGGATCTGGAGCCAGCCCACAGGGCCCCAACAAATATGCTTGCCAGCTGAGCGGGAGGAGACTGGCCAGGTAAAGGGCTCAGAGGCTTAATGGCTGGTTGCCCTGCCAGCAGGTCCTGAGGTCTCCAGGTGATGCTTCTAAGCACCTGGTTGGCTCAAAGTAGGACCTATAGAAATAAGATGTAATAGTGGGCGAGGTGCTGAGCTGGCACGCATAACCACAACCTGGGTGAGTGCACAGGCAGCAGTCTCCCCCAACTTTGCCCAGGGGGTAGCTGATGCAGCATCAAGGTCACAGGGGTGTTGGGGAGGGGTGCTATGATCTTTGGGAATTCCACGTCCCACTGTGGGGTCCCTGCTCACCTGACTAGTCAAGTTTGCTTATCTTTAAGTTTATCTTTGCCTCACTGTACTTTTTGTCTATTATGAAGAGGCTAAACATAAAAATCATGACAAGAAAGATGATATTACTTGGGCTTGGAGACTGTATGGAGGTCCCAACCTTTCTGGCACAGAGATGGACACCATCGCTTAACGAGCTGCCTGTGGCTGCCGCTGATCGCTTCTCGGTAACCAAGTAAGGAAGCCTTAGGAAACTGTTTCCCTTGGGTCCTCAAACTATGGCCCGTGGACTGGATCCGGCCTGCCTCAGAGCTTTTGGACTTGCTCGGAGAAAACGATCTCTGAGAGAGTCCAAAAGCTCTGAGCTGGTGCAGGCGTGCTCAGTGGGGAGATGGCCGCGATCGCGGTCGCACGCGTTCAGGGAAGACGGGAGCGATTTCGGTCGTGCTTTCAAGGGGGAGAGAGCCGCGATTGTGCTCAGGGGGGTGGGGAAGGTCGCGATTGCGCCCGCCTTCCCTGCACGAGCGTGCCCACAATCACATCCGTCTTCCCTCCATGATGGTGCTGTGGGGGGGGGGGGGCCACATTCCCACCCACCTTCCCTGCATGAGCGCGCCCATGCCCACCACCTCACTGGCCCATACCCGCTGCAGCCGCCTTTCAACTGGCCCCCTGTTGCAAAAGTTTGAGGACCCCTGCTGTTTCCTAATGAATCTGGTAGCTTTGCTTTAATTTCCTGCTATCAGTCTGAGCCATATGTGAGTCATATGTAGACAGGTGTACTTATAAATCTTTTTGTGGGCTAGTTACTTTGGTGGGATTATTGGCAAGTCCCAACATTCAGAGAAAGAAGAAACCATTGTTTCTGAAAAGAAATGTCCAGAAATTGTATTCTTATAAAGCAGTTAATATAATTTTACCAGCCTTGCTGAAGGGGAAATGAGAAAAGGGAATGTCTGTGAAGCTAGTGGAAGGGTTCCACATTGCATCCCAGAGCAGAACTGAAGCTATCCCTGGAACAAAAGCAGTCAGTTTAAGAAACAGCTTGAATAAATGAAGGAATAAATAAATACGTTACGGGAGGGCCGGGAATGCCTTGTTCTCCAGATAAGCCTATTTCACCCTTTGGGCCCTGGGGAAAATTTAAAAACAAACAAACTCGTTAGTGTTTTACAGGAAACAAAAATTCACACGCTAGTTTTAGAAGGTGAACTTTCAATTAGAAAAGTAATTCCATAATGGAATGGAATAGAATTTAGAAAAATCTACATCCCACCCAACTATTCAAAGAAGCATCAGTTCCTAGTCCCGTTCCCCCCCCACCCCCCCACTATCTTTCCATCACACAGGATTGTCTTTTTTATGCTCTTGGTGTTGCTACACTACTGCCAAATCCCCTCTTCTTTGTTCTGCCCCCACTTCCCATTTCCCACATGTTTTCTTGCTCTGCTTCTTCTTTCACTGACACTTGTTCCAGAATCCATGCAGGGCTGATCACACATTATGACACTTCAGAACTGTGCATAGGAACTGCGAAGTGAAGGCACAAATAAGCAAGTTCCAGTTTGCAAACGCGCATGAAGCACAGACACCAGGCACCAGGCAGTGCGACTCGCTCTCGGCCATTCCTGGGTGTGCCGTTTGGCAACGCGTCACAGGCTCCCCGTTCCCCTGGTACCCTCTTCTGCTAGGTGCCAGGCACAGGTGCAGCAAGGGAGGAAGTGAAGATAGGGATAGACAGCCTGTGTGGTGTAGCGCTTAAGGCCACAGGGCAGAGACTCAGGTGACCCGGGTTCTGGTGCCCGCTCAGCCAGGGAGCCCACTGGGTGACTCTGGGCCAGGCACAGACTCTCAGCCCGACCTCCCTCACAGGGTTGCTGTGGTGGGGATAACACTGGGAGCAGCAGGAGGAGAAGAATGTAAGCCACTCTGAATTCTTTAGAAGACAAAAGGCAGGCTATAAATCAAATCAATTAATTAATTAATAGAGCATGTCTCTATACTCACCGGCCTTCCTTGTTGACCAGGCTCCCCCAGGGCTCCTGGGCGGCCTCTGTGGCCCTAAAAGGGAAGGAAGATGGCATTGCAGAGGCTGCCTGATTCACACAAGACTCTTGCTTTCCCTCAGAAAGGGCGCCCTCTCACCCGCCTGAGACAGGATTTGCTGCTGGTTGCACTGGGTTTGCATGCTTCTCAGACTTGCAGTGATGCAGAAATCAAAGTGAAATTTTAATTAAAGGAAGCAGCACCGACAGTAGTGTGACCAAGTGTTCTGAGTTTAATGTTTTTAATTGGTGATTTACGTATTTAATTCTATGTTCATGTCTATTATGTACTTTGAGATAGTTTTTAAACATGTTCACTGGTATATACATGTATTAATTCAATAAATATATAGCCTAGACACAGTTTATGCAAATTACTGTCCTCTTTAGGGATGAGTCATAAGTACACTTGAACTAGTGGAAAATTCTGATCAATACTAGGAGCAGTGGAAGCAGAGGAGGCTGGTTATTGAGAGGTTGCTCTAAAAACAGCTCCCCATGATGCTAAACCCTCCGAAGTCACCATCACCACTTTCCAAGCACCATGGCAAAAGGTAAAGCTGAGCCATTCTTACCTTCAAGCCCTGCAGTCCCTGTGGGCCTTTGGGTCCAGGTGGGCAGTTGGTTGGACACTATATGGGGAAAACAGAGGAGGAGGGAAAGTACATTATTCTTCTCCTTCAACCCAAAAGAAATTTAATGGATGTGCATAAAGAGGGGCCAGTCTTCTTGCAACCCAGTTGCCTGGTTTCATAGCATTTCCAGGAAAGATAATATTCCAGGAATTTCAGAGGTGGCTGGAGGGTTCCCTGGACTCGCTTACTGGGGACAGGGGGAGAGGGAATGCCGAAAAGCAGCTCAGCCAAAGGGGCTGAAGAGAATGTGGGAACAGGTCTACGGGATCAGACCAAAGTCTCGTCTAGACCCACCACCTGTCCTTCACCTTCACCATGGCCAAGCAGATGCCTCTGGAAAGCTGACCAGCAGGATGGGAAGGCAAAAGCGCCTGACAGCCAGAACTGAGAAACCTTCAGTACTGGAAGTGATGCCCAGCCAGTGGGAAGGAAAGCCAGGGATCGCATGATCCACCATGCAGAAGAAGACCTAGAAAACCTGGGAGCCCAAGAAGAGAGAGTTCTGCAGAAGGAAGACAAGTCAGATTAGGTGTGAAGGAAGCCCCCTCCCCTCAAACCTGAGCATGCACAGAGCTAACCCGACGGTCTCAGGCGGCCTCTGAAAGCTGCACACCGAGCACAAGCCCTGCTCCATGTGCAGGAGCACACCATGTTAGGGGATGCCATTACTGTGCGCTGTGCATACAGGGGCCGGTCTCCTTTCCGTGCCCGCACAGGCGCCCTTCCCTCTTCTCACTCCCCTCATGTCCTGAGCATGTCCCAGGCCCCTACGCTTGCCCAGAGGCACGAATGGGGAAAGCCTTCCTCGGTGGGGCACCCAGCCAGACAAAAGGAAGGGAAGGAATTAACTGGGACTCCTTTCCCTTCCACCTGGGGGGAAGCTAAGCAGGGCAGTGAGGACAAAGGACCATGGGGTGCCTTGTGCTCAGCTTTTTGTTTCGGTCAAGCATCCTTTGCATTTAGCCACATCTCCCATAGGAGCCATTTTGTGGTGGTGTCCACGACAGTTTCTCAAATGCGCCCACAGCCCCCAAAACTTCCCTGCCTCTGGGGTGTCTGAGCACTGGACCCTCAGATTCTGAATGTGCAGATTCCTTACACTGAGTCAAACCAGCGGCCTCCTCTACCTGGCATGGCCGATACGGGCTGAAACCAGGCCTCCGGCACAGAGACGGTTCCCCCAGCCCAGCCAGCTGAGGTCCCACTTTCCTGGCAGGGCTGAGACTAAACCGGGAGCCTTTTGCAGGCGACACTCACAGCAGAGCCTCTGAGCCACAGAGCCCTCATTTGCGCATTAACATCATTATTTGCGTGTTGCTGCGATGTAGTGCTCTTCTCTTACAGCTGATTTTATCGAGTCAGAGGCTGCCTGCTTCCCTGCTGTGCTTCGGAAGGCTCGTCTCGCCTGCCCTTTCGTCAAAGCAAGGGTTGGACTATGCTACGGGACGCTTGCGCTGCTACTCCGGGCCGAATATCTTGCTAGGAATTTTAGATGGGCTTCATTGAATGCAAAGCTGCATTTGGTTCCCCCTTTCTCAGGAGCTGCATTTCCTCGTGCATCTACAGCCAGAGCGGTGCCCCAGAGACCGAACGCCTCCATCTGTGCTTGGACTGCAGGCTCCCGGGTCTTTCCAGAAATGCTCTTTCCCCTCTAGCAAACAGAGACGCAATGTCTTCTCCAGAACGCTGGGATTGCGGAGGACGGGCACTGTGCTCATGCCTTGCCTGCAGACGGGCTCTGCCTCACGCCCCAGCCTTGCCAGGTAAGTGAGGCCAGCTTTTTGCCTAGAACCACGGAAAGTTGCGGCAGCGGCTGCTCAGGCCCCCACTCAGCCATGGAGCTCCCAGGGTGATTTTGGGCCAGGCACAGAGTTGCAGCCCAGCCTACCTCACAGGGCTGTCGTGAGGCTAAGATGGAGTGGAGGGGAATGGTACTAATGGCTTGAATTCCTTGAAAGGGAAAAGGGGGGGCTATAAATATAAATGGGGCCGTGGTTCAGCTGAGCGCGAGGCAGCCTTTCCTGAAGCGGAGGAGCAGGAGACGAGGATGGGCAAAGCACGCCATGCGCAAGCAACCAGGGTGCAGTCCGGGGGCAATGCTCCTCAACCCCTCACGGAGAGGCTCTGGGCCTCCAATTCAGGGTGGGGGAGGAGCAGCACCGGTGATTTTGGCCACCCCTCCTCCTGGGCCGCTCACTTCTCCAGAAGGGCTTTTCTGGCGCTCTAGCTGGGGCATTTCAAAGGAGGGGAAGCTTAGGGTGGCTGGCATCAGTCAGCCCCCTCCCTCCTTGCCCCCCAGGTCACCTTCCCAACCTCAGCGGCCAGCAAGATGTTTTCTGAGCCATTTCCAAGGTGGAGGCAGATGGGGGGGGCAGGTCCGATTCCCTGCTCTGAGGTCACAAGGCTGTCTCTGAGCCAGGAATCAGAAGTATCCTGCAGCCCCCCTGATGCTCTCTGGAAGGAGCCTCCCAGGAATGGGGCTGGGGAGAGGGATTAAACCTACAGTCCCGGGATTTTACGCCCTTGCCTAAGCAGGGGTGGGCACCTGGGCCCAAAGGGGCAGATTAGGCAAAGGCATCTTCAAAGTGAACTGGGGACTCCATGTCCAGGGGCAGTATATCTGTGAGTCCCAGAAGCTCCAAAAACAGAGCAAACCCCAAACAAGAATAGCAGCTCCCTTCCCCACCCCCCTGATAACCTCCCCAGAGGCATCTGTCTGGCCACCACTGAAGCAGGACACTGGGCTATGGAGGACCTTTGGGGTGGGGAACCTTGTCCTGGGGATCAGGTCCAAGCCCCCCAGAATCTGCATCACAGCAGCACACAGGCACCACCTCAAATACGGGTGCAGCCTCCATCTTTGCTCCATGCACAGCTGGGGGAAAGAAGGCATTTCAGGCCCGCCTACCCCCCGCTGAGCACATTTCCTTCTATCAGCTTCATAGCTGGGGGACAGAAACAACAAACTGGAGGAAAACCAGTGAGGGGCACGGCCTAAGGGGAAGTCGGAGTTCCGGACTGAGGGGCCTGAATGTTCAGGCGTGGCATGTGGGGTGAAGCTCCCCCGCCCCCGTTTTAGGCCGATTCAGCAGAGTTCCTCTGCACACAGCGTGTCATGTGCCACGCACTCAAAGCAGCACGCACTCCGACGAGGGAAAGGCCCGAGCGCGGCCATCCAGCCATGAAGATCAAAGCAGAAGCCCCCAGGCTTGCCCAGCACCTGGTAGATGGATGCCAAGAAAAAAATCCATTGCAAAATTGCAGGTGCAGTGTTGTTTGCTTGTTTCTGTTTGTCTGTCTGTTTTTGCTTTCTGTGGTTTTCCAGCAATGGGCAGCAGACAGGTTTTGTTTTGAAAAACGCAATGCAGCCTGTAGGTGTCATCCTCCTTACCAATAAATCCGCGCTACCTTCAACTCCGTGGATGCGAGCAACGGGACCCTAGTGAAGGAATATGACATGATCAGAGATCCCCTCCACAGCTTCGGAAGAAACAGGTTCTTCTGCCTGGAACGGAGCTGACCATGAGCATGCACAGCCATTTTCCAGAAAGAAAGATCACACTTCTCCTAGAGCCATTTCTTGTGAGGAATTAGCCCGGTCCCATTAGTCCGGTCTCATTCCCTCGTGGGCACTGAGATCCGTAGCCATTAGCCACCTGCTGCTCCTAGACCTGTAGGCCCCCCTCCATGTAAAACACCCCAAATCATAGCAGTTCAACATACAGGCTTCCCAGGAGGCCCCGGGGGTCCTTGCGGTCCATCTGGTCCACGTTCACCCTGAAAAAGAAAAGCCAGAGCTGTATTCCACCCACAGAAGTATTTTGACTAGGGGAAGTAAAATGTCCAAAAGCAATCCCAAAGACAGCATTTCTACATCTCTTGTTTTAGTTACTCGCCGGAGATAAAAAGACCCAAACACCGAAAGGCGCGGATGAGCCGGAGAGAGTGCAGCGGCTCAGGCATGCGAAAAATGGGTTGGGGTCTGACGGTGTGCAGCTGATGGAGCCCGAAGGCTTACCGAATGGAGGCAGGGACAAGAAGGCATATTTTGGCACACAACTGCACAACGTCTCCTCTGGGCCCTTTTATGACTAACAAAAGAAGCAGCACACATTTTACAGAAGAGCAAAACAAAACAAAACATAGAAATTGCAGGGTGAGTTGTGGAACAATGGATGCAAAGCAAAATGTGCATGCAAGGTACAGAATGCAAAAGTCCAGTCCTTGACTCAGTGTTTGAAGTGGAAATTAAGTTACTTTAGCATACACAGTGACAGGGACCAAGAAGAAGAAAGGGAGCAGAATAGAGATGCAGCTGCTTTCGTTGCAGTTTTACTTCTTGGCCCCTTCCCTCCCTGTGTCCTTTGTGCAAAATAATCTACAGAACGAACTGCAAGCGTAAAGCTTTGGATTCCAGTGAAGGACCTCTCTGGAGCCCATCGGTATGTTATAGTCACTGTACGTAAAATAGTTGGGTCTGAGCAGTTGAGAGTTTTGTGTGCTCTCCTGGAGAAAGCAGAGACTGCATCATGGAATCATGGCCTTCCTGGCTGCTTCCTCTCGCCTTCTTTCTCTGCTTTCCTTCTGGCCTCATTCCATGAAGGGCTTATTTAGTGTGACATCCAAACTGGGGCTCCTGGTTTGTTGCTCCTAAACAAGCCAGGAGTCAAAAAGCAAGAACAAATGCCAGTTTGCAATTCTGGTTTGGAAAGGGAGAAACAAGGCAAAGTCCCCACTTTGGACAGCACACTAATGACCTTTCTGGATTGGTTAACCTTCATGCTAGCAAAGAGCAGCAAAACAGCAGAAACCAGAATGCAGCTCATTCACAATAAGCAAGAATTCTGTCAAATTCTGGGGTGCATTGCATACCTCTGCTGCCTCCCCCTTCTTGCCTGGCTAATATTTGTTGGGGTTTCAGGGGGGGAAGAGAGTGGGACATTGGCCACTAAAAAAGGAGAGAAGGAGAGAGGACCATCAAAAGCAACATGGATGCAGACAGCGGGTATGACGGCTGTCTGTATTCACATTTATTCCCTTCCATCTTCCTTTGCCCTTCTCTGGAACAGCTGCAGAGGCCAAGCCTGGCTTCCATGTGGCCAATTTTGAAGGGAGGGCAGCAGGATTGCCTCTGGGTGTTTTGGCACCCCTGGCAAAGTGGCATATTGCACAGCTGCTGGACTTACGACTTCTGCCAGCTCCAGTCTCTCTCTTCTGCCCCCTAATCCCCAGCAAAGGCCCTCTCTTTCCTACCCACTGCCCCCAACCACCCCCAGCCCCCTTTTCAGCCTCTCTTTCTCTCCACCTGCCATCTTCCTCCTCCTCTTCAGCATTCTCTCTGCCCCCATCTCCCCCTCTGGCTCGTACTTCAAAGGGGCCCTTCCTGGAATGAGACGTTCTGAGCCAAGTGGCCCTATAAGGCCCCTGCGCCATGGCAGCAGGAGCAGTTTGCAAGGGCACCTTAAACAGAAGAACATTAAGGAAAGACCCTGAAGATACGGCATTTGGGCCTGGTCAGCTCTCTGGACAGTAAACTTGCTCCATCCACCACTCCACCACAAGCCCAGAACGAAATGCTGAGTGGGCTCAGAGCTGCTCGGGGCCATACATGGACGAGAAGCTGGTGCAGCGGAACAGCTGGAGCCCCACCACTATCTCTGGGGAAAGCTGTGCTCACACACTCCAGAGGGTGGTGCCCAAGGCAGCCGTCCCACCCACCTCCCAAAGAAATGGCCCCGAGTGACTCGCATCTTGGTACATAACCGGCCTCGAACAAGGCAACAAGCCCCAGCGGATATCCACACCTCTCGGCTGGATCCCTCACCTTTGGTCCCTGAGCTCCGATTTCTCCGGGGAGTCCAACCTGACCTGGTGAGCCCTTTCGGAAGGAAACAGAGATGGGACAATTCACATTCTGAATCATAGAAATCAGTCACGAAGGGTAACAATCTGCTGCAGGCTAAAAAGAGTTTTACTTTTTCACCCCTTCACGCTGTGCCAGATCTTCCATCCGGTGCCCTGTGGGTCTGGCTGGAGAGGACCACAGAGGGGTGGCAGCCACACTCCAGCCAACAGCCACCTGCTGCATCGACTTTTGCAAAAAAGCAGCGTCCTCCAGCCGATGCGAAAGTTGCACAAACACCGCTGGGCCACTGGGCCAGCACCAGCGTAGGCACTGAATGGCAAAGAGAGGGGTTGTTGCGGGGAAGGCAGGGCTCTCGAGACATCCCTGTCACGGGGAAGGCAGGGATATCTCTGGGCTTGCTTCTTCTAACGCTGGCCACCAGCCAGGGTTGTGCCATTCTGCTGAGGCTTGCAAAACATCTGGACCTGCCTTTGGCTGGGTCAGGCCAGCAGCCAATGTAGTCCCCCAGCAGTTGCTCTCCAGGGTTTCAGGCAGACAAAAAGAGGGAGGAAGCAGCCACTTTCCATCACACGCTACCTGATGGAGATGCCCGTGCTGGAACCTCAACCCACCTGTGTACAAAGCAGGTGCCCTGCCCTTGAGCCACAGACCCTCCCATGCCCCAGACTCTTCCCACACCTGTTCTCAGCCGGTATCTGCTATGTGTCAGGCAAGAGAGGAACAGCTTTTGCCATCAAGGACTGGGGATTATCTCTTGCAAGGCAGCAATTCCAGAACTGGATGAGGCCACAGCAAAAAGTGGGCTCTCTTTTTCTCCACCATCTCACCACTTCAGGCCTTCAGGGAAGAAGACGTCACTCTTGCCAAGGGTTTGAAATGACTGTTTACATGGGAATTTCTCCCCTCCGTGTTTTCACCTCCCTGCTGGAGCTCTGAACTGAACTGAACACTTATAGAAAGTTTCCTTCAATCCGTGCACTGACATGTTGTAGATTTCCCCACAATTTTTTCCTTCCCCCTTCCTTGCACATATGTACCTATACACCTGCACTAAGTCAACCCAAGGGCAATGGGAGTCCTACTCCTGGGGTAACGTCCTGCCCAGCTTTTCTGAGTAGCCATGCTGATGTGACATACTTTGGTGCTTTTGCCAGATTGTTGGGGGCCACAGTCTGCAATGCTCCCCTGGTGGTGGAAGAGCTTTTACGCAAGAGCTCCCTGGCACAGCACACAATGTGAGGAGGGATCGGGCCCTCTCACAGAGCAAGCAGCTGTTCAAAGCTGCTGCCTCACATGCAGAATCAGAACCAGAGGAAGAGCTGGGACTGAAATGTGTAATCGATGTGGCAAGGTCAACCCAGCCAGAAATAAGGCAAGCAGCCAAACAGAACCAGATAGTCTGAAGTCCTGTAGGAAACTCGGTTGGGCAGCCAGAGAGAAGGGACTGTGAGAAGGACAGCCCAGCTGGGAAGCGCCAGACCTTCTCAGGACGGCTCACAGGCTGCAGAACCGCCCTGGAGGCGAAGACCACTCCCCTCCATTTGGCCTGGAAAGGAGAAGAGGTTTTCAGCCCAGAACTGACTTTGTCTCCTCAAGCCAAATTTCCCTAAGAACCAACATTCTCACTTGGATGGCCTGCTTGAACATAAAAAGAGACTTTAATTAGAAAGCTTTTGTCCTGATCTACTTGAAAAGGAGCGGGGGGGGGCGGGGGACACCAGCACCAAAAATATGGTGAGCCCTTCAAGAACACACACAACTGCATCCCAAATCAAGCACACTGCCCCCACCTCCCCACCACAACGCCAGCACCAACTGCATGCATGTCACTTACAGGAGGTCCTGCCAGGCTGGGGCCCTGAAACGAGAAGATGGTTGCAATGGATCATGATTTCTGTTTCCTCCTGACTTGACTGCAGAAAAGGTCACAGATGAATTCCCCAGTCTGGCCCCCTTGTGCCTTTTACTGATTTGTTAGATCGGCTGCCTCCTCTTCCTCCCCCTGAAGCCCATCCCCGCACCCCCAAAGCTATTATACTCCACACTCTGCTCCAGGTCCAAACGTTCCGCCACAGCTTCTGCCGGACATTCCCACGCACTCCAGAGTAAGGCCCACGTTCTCACCGCCATGCGAAAGTGGGAGAGGCCTTTGCCCTGGGAGTGGAGGAGGCTGCCTTGCACTGGAGTTAGGCAAAGGTCTGCTAAGGCCACCCCCGTCGATGGGGACTGCAACACCCCACTGGGGCTTCGGGCAGGGTCTTTTTCCAGCCCTCCCTGAAGACGCCTGGACCCCCAGCATGCAAAACAGGGAGCGGCCAGCTCAGCGGAGCTTATTTCCAAAGAAGGGTATTTAGCAGCTCCAATTCTGGAGCGATGCTTTAAGGCCCCTAAGGCAAGTGCAGACATGAATGCAACCCGAGGGCCCCTGCGTCCTACAGGCATTTTTGCCTCCCACAACATGCAAGAAGTTTGTCAGACTGGCCAGTAGGCCAGCCCCCAATTCTGTTGCCCCGTTCCCTGCTATTTCCTCCTGGCAGGCTGTCTGCATCCCCCCTCCACTTAATTTTAACGACCCAGAAGTATGGTTGACCAGCTAGATGGACATATGCCGGCTGGAGCCGGGGGTCAGACTAGATGGCCTGGGAGACCCCTTCTGACTCACTCTGCTTCTGTGTTTCTATGTTCGTCTGGACCCCCTGAGGCTGCTTCAACTCCTCTTCCTTTTCAGTGACTTCACAGTTTAACAAACCAGAGGTGAAACTAACCTGAGTTCCCCAAGTTCAGGTGCTAACAGAGAATGCTAATTAATTCTAAAGCAGAGGTTGATGCTTCCAATCCATGGCTAAATCCTGGCTTGTTGTCGGGACCCACCCTAGTTCTGCTGCAAGTTTACAAATGGGCATTTTCTGTGTTCTGCTCCTGAGGGTAGCACGAGAAGAGGACCAGAACAAGGGGAGCGTGTGCCCTGAGCTCACTCCCACTGCACTAAACTGTGTTCAGCACCACGTGCCAAAAAGGGCCCTGGGTGCCACCTGATGCAGGCTTTCTCCGGCAGGTCCTTGATGAGCATGTACAATAAAAAAGGAAAACTTACTGGGAGCCCTGGGGGTCCTACGGGTCCAGGTTGCCCCTGTAGCGATGGAAAAAGAGAGGCTGAGTAACAGGGAACACATGACCGGGCACTGCCCCCCACAATAATATACATCCCCACAATCCCCATTCCATGGGGCGGCCCAAACTCCCACTCCAGCCACCCACCCCGATGCGCATCCAGCTCTTGTGCTCGTGCGATCTGAATCCTGCCCAGGCCACCACCCATGGAGCAAGAGGAGCCAGAAGACGGACATGGTTTGTCAGCACCAGTGGCCACCCATGCCCCACAGTGGCACAGTGTGGGGTAGCGGTTAGAGCACTGGACCGAGACTCGGAATATCTGGATTCTTGTCCCCACTCAGCCCTGAAGTTCACTGGGTGATGCTGGGCCAGCCACTCATTCTATGCCTCACTGGCCCACAGGGTTGTGAAGAAAAAATGCAGAGGAGAAAGAGAAGAACTCGGAAAGCTGCAAGGATAATTAAAAGGGAGGATACAAAAACAACAAATACATAAATACATGTTCCCTGATGTGAGCCCTGCAGGAAATGCCCATGCTTCCAATGACATGGGAGACAATACCGTTTGTGCAGAAAGGGCGCGCCTGTTGTTTGCAGATTGTCTGGGGAGATGCATGGAGTGGAGACCTGACCAGAAAGGGGACTCCTCACTGGTGCCTTTTATTACATTAATATCCCACCTTTTTTCTTACAAAGTGGCTTACTCCATTCTCCTCCTGCTGTTCTCCATCTCATCCCCACAACAGGAACCCTGCAAGGTTGGTTGGGCTGAGAGTCTGTGACTGGTCCAGAGTCACCCAGTTGGTTCCATGGCCAAGCGGGGACTCGAACCCGGGTCGCCTGACTCCCAGCCCTGTGCTCTTCGTCACTACACCACGCTTCCTCTTTCCCCTTGTTGCCTTCATCTTCAGGCGTTCCCAACTCTTCTCGGCCCTTCTTGCCAAACCGAGCACAGAAAGAGGTTCCATGGCAGAGACAAAAATATCACAGAGCAGCGAATGAGCAAGGATGGGGTGGTGTGCTTCCTGCCCTCTTGAGGAAGGTTGCTGGTCACCGGCCCAGTTTCGAAGCTGCTACCAGCAGTGCTGGGAAGTTGCACTTGGCCTGGGTGGAGCTCTCCAGCTACCTGGAGTGGAGCTGCAGCTTCAGTGGCGCCCACCTCGTTTCGCAGGGTTGCTAAGCACTGCATTGGACAGTTGGTCCAGACTGACACGGTTCATTTAATGGCAGGCACCAGAGAGGACTTGGTTCCATCATGGCTGCCTGCACATGGGGAAGGGCACCTGAGTCTTTGCTGCCTGGAGATGATGTCATTCCAAATTCCACCCTGTTGCTACTGCAGCAGTCACACCTCCCTTCCCCACACACTCCAGTCCAGGTAAAATCCTTCCCCACCTCAGCACGGTTATGCGTCATGCTCTCCATCTCTTCTCTGTGTTGAAGCCCTGCAATGTTTTGATCAAATTCCAACCAAGTACACCTGCCTACATATTTTTCAGACTTCTGCACAGATGTGCACACAGAATAACACACACAGGTCTCTAATATGCTGAAAAATTAGCATTCTAGTTCTCTGATTTAGCTCCTATTTAGGCATATTTAGTATCGAAGTTCCCCAAGTAAATCGGGGATAGATGGACAGAGTGATTGGATGACAGCATCACTGGACAGTTCAGATTCTTGGATTCGAAGGCAGAAAAAAGTTTCAGCCTTGGAGCTGGGAGATCCACGGGCAGAAAGACCCCTGGAGTGCCTCATAGCGACCGTGGAAAGAACTGAGTGGCATAAACTTTTGCCTTTTTAAAAATGTTAATTCAAAATCAAATAAACTATCACAGAACAAAAGCAAGAAACAGGTGGGCAGTCAAGTCTAAATTTGCCCCCAGCTCTTCTCTGGAGTCTACCAGATTAAAACTCTTTGGATTTTAAGCAGGCATGGGGGGGGGGGGTGCCCCAGACAGTGGGAGGACAGCTGTCCCTCTCTCCAGAAGCTGTGAAATGCAGCGGCGACAACACCAGACCAGCTGCCAAGCATCTCCCTGGTGTGGCAGAAAAGCTGGGCAGAAGAAAGGTGCTTACTTTGGGGCCTGGTCTCCCGGCAGGGCCCGGCTCTCCCTTTGTTCCCGTGAGGCCCTGTGAAAGAAGGAGGGAGAGAGAGCTGCAAGATCAGCCTGATCAGAGGCATCAGGGGTTGGCTGAAAGAATCCAGTGCGGGGAAACCGCAGAGAAGGCTGTGTATTTGGACCAAACGTCATTGCCAGAGCATCCGGAAGGGGATCCCAGCATGGGAATGGCACAGAAAATGCCGCTGCAGTAAATTTAAGTCTGGGGTGGAGGGAAAAGCAGCAACAGGTGCTAAAAGGGAGAGAACAGGGAGGAAAGGAGAGTCAGTGTTAGAGGAAGGAGGGAGACGGGCAGCACACCCAAGGGCCCTAGACAGCATCCGGAAGGCCAGAGGGTGCGGCAGATTCCCAGGTTTGAGACTGGAAGCAGAGCGCCAACGTCAGAGGGTGGGGATCTGTGCTTGGTTCCCCCTTCCCCAAGTGATGCCTGCTTCTGCAAGGTTGTGACAGTGACCTGGGGCAAGACATTGGGGGCTGCTCTGGGGGCAGGTAGAGGAGGAGAGTGGGGCTCCCAGGATATGCTCTGCGCTGGGGGTGCCCCGGCACTCTTGCTTCCTGTCCAAAGCACTGCAGCTGAACCCCTGAAAACAGATGCCCCACTGTCTATGGAGCAGAAGGACTGGGCAGTCCGCCCTGCATAGGATGCCCATCATCCCCTAAGTTCAGAGAGTTGTGGACATCCCCACTGGATTGCACCCTAAGATGCCTCAGGGAGCAATCCTGAAGTCCTGCAGCCTGGCCAATGCTGGGAGTTGTAGGACTTTTAAAGTAATTTTTCTAAAGGATTCCTAATGTGCCTTCTCAGGTGCAACCACAGGTGTGTTTACACAGAAAAGAGTTTTCAAGGGAGAAGCCCAGCGGCTCTGCAGGGGGCTTGGGAAGGCCGGGATTCGATTCCCACTCGGATGAGGAGAAAGAAGGGGAGGGAGATGCTGCTGAAACTGGAGATAGGCGGGAATGCCACCGGCAAGCCCAGCAGCCCTTTCCAAACCCATGGGATTGCCAAGCCCAGGTGCACACAAGGAGTGGACCGGGCATCCAGGATCCAAAATTAGGTACCCAGAGAGTGGTGGGGAGCAGCGCAGTGGCCCAAGGGCGGTGCTGTCCAAGAAGCTCTTCAGGGAAAGGCTCTTAAAAGGCAGAGTGAACAATTCTGCATGCATTTGTTTTCTGCCCTCCCTTTCTCTAAGTTGCTACCTGGGATTAAAAAATGTTCCCAAAACTGAATGCTAACACTCTGTGCATGTGACACAGCCACTGCAGTGAGCCAGCAAGGCCCTGGCTTGTACTCACGTCGATCCCAGGTTTACCCGCGGGGCCATCTGGACCTGGAAGGCCAGGTTCACCCTTGGCTCCCTGTTATAAAAGAACGCATTAGAAAGTTAAAGGAATTCTTGGGATGGCAGATGTCCATGGCTGCACAGTTGCCCTGCGGAGGGACCCAGGTGCTGCAGCTGCGAGGTGATGGAGGACACCGCATGCTCAGAATGGCAGGCACCCCAGTCCCATTTCCAGGGTGGAGCCAGTGCCTGGCCTGGCCCCAGGAAGTCGCAGGGGCCTCAGCCTCAGGCAGTGCCCGGCTCTCTGCTAACAGCGCCACACAGGTCTCTCTGTCAGAGACCCTAGACAGGCAGAGCAGTCCAAGAAGGCAGACCTGGAATGGAAAAGCCACTGCTCAGATCTGTTACAATCCTGCTTTTGTGATGAGCCACTGACACGGGCAAATTGTTTCTGCTATCGTCTGTCTGTCTGTCTGTCTGTCTGTCTCATTTTTAGGCTGCCCAATTGCCAAGGTTCTCTGGGCAATTAACAAAAGTTAAAATTAAACAAATATTTAAAAGACACCCGTAAACATTTGATTCAAAGTGCAATCCCATGCATGCTTAGACAGGAAGAAAAGCCTACGGGGCATGCTGGGCCATGCTGGCAGCTGTAGGCTTTCCTTCCTACATAAACACTCAGGTTTGCACTCCTGTTCGGTTAATGCCTCCACCCGATGTTCTCACAGTGATGTGCAGAATAAAAAATATATACAATCCAACCAACAACAGTCCACATAACAATAAAACACACGGTTAGGGTGGAAGTAGGTCTACTGTAAAAAGGACAGCCCTCGGTTGGAAGGGTTGTCCTGTCCAATCCCAGTTTAAAGGCAAAGAACTACATGGAGGGAGAAAAGGAGCTCTGAAGGATCCCGTTCCACACTTAGCACCTGGACAGCAGGGTCAGTAGGTGCAGAGCTGGCCTCCTGGTCTTGGTCTTCCCCACAGTGGCCAGATGGATTGTATTTATGTTTAAATTACAGCCATTCTTTCTAAAGCGTCATCAAAAAAGTAGAAATTATCACCTGCACACCATATGCAAATCATCATTTCTTTTCACTGTCTCTTTTGGCTTTCCCTTCTGGAGCACTGCAGAAGAGCCCACCACAACATTGGAACTCAGTGAGAGTTCCAAAATTCCCAAAATCCCAGAAAGCAAAAGAAACCTGCCCCATTGCTTCAAGCTGCATCCCAGTAGCACTGTCAAAATTTGCTTTCCTTTTAGACAAAAGATGCACCCTGCAAATAGCAAAATTCCCTCCAGCAGAATCCCGGGAGATACTCACGGGGCTTCCTGCTGCTCCTGGTGGGCCTTTGTCACCCTAGAGAGAAAGAAAGACAATCAACCATTTACTTGTATATCCAGAAGATCACTGCTCCACCTTTCAAGGTGTCCATTCCACCCACAAACCGACCAAATAATAAGATTCTAAGCAATGAACTGTGTGAGGCTGCCTGACTGTGCGGAGGAAAAGGTCACCCCGCATTCCAATGCAAGTCTGTTCCTGAGAAAGCAGGGACAGGATCGCAGCTACAAAATAGCAGATGGAAGCATTAAATGATGTCAGCAAATAAAACCAATATTAAAAGTGGCATCAAAGCACCCCAAAACAAGCTGGAATAAAAGTGGGTTTTCGGGATCTCCTAAAAGCCAAAAGGGGGAACAGGAATGGTACTTATATCCCTTGGAAGTGTATTCCACACGTGGGTTGTGTGGAGGATAGATGTTAATGGGACCCAACCATCCAAGGAATGACGTCCTGCCTGCAACACCATCACCACAGGAGAGAATGGGATGCATTCAGCTGCGTCTTTCCAGAGGCGAACATAACACTGTGCTGGTCAGAACGGGGTTCCTAAGGAAAACCTGCAGCAGGGCACTAGCACGACCTCCTCCTACACCCTCTTAGACATTCCATCTGCACAACAGCTGTGCAACGCAATGTCTTGGCTGTGCTCCACCAGCGCTGTTTGAGCTGAGACGGTTGGAGACGGCTCACTGAGGCCAACTTCAGGCTTCAGGATATGCATGACCCCCTTTTTCACAACCCTCCAGATCTTATGGGATTGGTTGCAGCCAAATCGGAAGTGATCTCGGAGCAGAACAAGTCACATTCTGGAGAAATGCCAGACTGGGCACTTTCCTAAACATGGTGCATGTAACGCTTGTATGCCTGAGCCAACATCTGCTTCACACACACTCTCGGACCTCATTCGCACAACACAATCGCCCACAATGGGCAGTGAGCTGGGGCTGGTTGCTGCGATGCCTGAATTCAGCCCCGGCTGCCCACAGCGATGCAGCGCAGCCCGTCTGCCGGTCTGTCTCAGCAGCCATCAGAAACGTGCACTTGGAAACAGGGTGAGATCAGAGGGTGCCCCCTTTCCAGCTCACGCAGCAGCCTGACAATCCTGTGGAACCTTGGCTTGGGTCGTGCTTTGCAAAGGGATGTGAAGCAGTGCAGGACGGGGAAGAGGAACCGACTTAGGCCTCCCTCTGCTCCGTGGGAGCATGAAAACGTGCAGCAGGTTCTCCCGCATGGCCTCACTGCCGCGTTAGCCCTGCTGCACCACCGCCTCCCCGCCCAGCCTCCAACCCCCGCCACCTCCCACGGAGATCAGCAGCAAATGATTCAGAGCCCTCTGCAGTGTCCTGAGCACCCCAGGAGAAGGGATGCCTAAAACCAGCGCACACGTGTCTTCACCCCTTAGCACCGTCCTCTTCTCAGAAACGTGGATGTCTGCTGAAGAGGCCGGGCCTGGGTGAGCGCGGCAGAAATACATCAGACGTGGAGTTTGTCCAGGGGAGCGTCTCCGAAGCCACTCCGCAAAAGCATGGAGCGGCCCGCTGGCTCCCTCTAGGTGCTCCAGACGGGTACGGTGCACAATACCGCCCTTTGTGCCCGAACACTCTCTCCCTGCCTCCTGGTCGCATTCCTGAGCCGAGCGGTGAACTTACATCAATGCCATCAGCTCCTGGCAGTCCTGGTGGACCTGGGGGGCCCCGTGGTCCAGGCTCGCCTGGCGGGCCTTGCTAAGGAAAGGAAAGGAGAGGAGAGGAGAAAGAACAACAGTGTTATTCGCGGGGGGCAGAGCAGGGGGCAAAAACAGGGAAACCAAGCACCTGCTGAGCTGGCTGGGTGTCTCCAACCGTCTCACGGCAATGCCGGTTCAACTCCAGCCCCTGAATAAACCCCCCAGGCCCTCGTTTGCCCACACCTTCCCTGGAGGGCTGGTTACAAGAGAGCGGGGGCCATGCCAGGGGAGAAGTAGAGTTCTTTTGCTCCTGACTGTGTTCCACTCAAAATAGGGGGGGCACATCAGAGGCAGCCCAAGTGGGAGGCAGTGGAGAGGTTTAAATCAAGGAGACCTGGGTCTGAATCCCTGCCCAGGCATGGATCGATCACTTTCTTGGTCGCGGAAGGATAGCAGGGGAAAGTCTGCTCCTGGCAGCCTGTCCTCCCCCGAGCAACTCCACCTGACAGTCCCTGGAAGCAAGAAGATGTGTCCGATGGAAGACATTTTTCTTTAAAAAGGCAGGGCGGCTTGGATGCGCTGTGCAATCCCTTTCCAGTGGCCAGGTGCGGTGCCCGCCTCTTCATCTTCCAGGGGTTATTATGCTCCTTCTTTTCCTCTGGGACTTTCTCTGTCATCATTGGAGACAGGGTATTTTTCTACATGGTTGTACCTGCTCAGATGTCGTGTTAAAGCAGGAAAGCAAAAAGCAGGTGCTTTTTGTCACTCTTAACTTTAAATGTACATGAAAAAGACAGACTAGCCAGAGACAAAATTTCAAAACGTATTTAGAGCTAAACATTTTGGCTTCCACCCACGTCATTAGCTGTGATGTTTATATATTGCTGTGATTCCAAAGAGGTTTTCTTCCCAGATTGGCATGCAGCTTGACTTGCTTGTTTGAGTTGTCTATTTGTCTTACAAACATGTCTTCATATCTTGATCTGGTATCGAAATGGCTCCCAGGAGGTAGGACCAGTCAACCTTTTAATCTTAGCTATCCTGGCTGAAGATTCCTCGAAGATGTAGGCCTTTTTTCTGGTTTAACATGCATAAGATTGTACCCTTAGCCAGTTCAGTGACTGTTGCACATTTCAGCTTTACTGTAGACCAAGTGATGCCCTGATGTTTGCTAAATTAATAAATTAGGAGGCACTTCACAGAAATGTAAAAGAAAGGTACATCCTTTGAATCAGGTGTTCCTTTGAAACTCAAGAACCATTAGCAACTGGCTTCTTGATGGAGCTTGTTCAATTCACTTATGCTTCTGTACTCTACTTTCCACCCAGGAGAAAGGCCTAAACATTGTCTTAGCTCTCTGTGAGGGGGATTGTTTCAAGGCTGACACATTCAAGACTGTGGAGTACTAAGTAAAATTTGGAGGGCAGCAGGAGAAATAAGATTCTAAGAGGAAGAGAGAGAGAAGAATTCCAGACAGTGATGTTATACATACATACATGAGTGTAAGCCCCACTGGACTCAATGGGATTTTCCTCCATAGAATCACAGAGTTGGAAGGTACCTCAGAGGTCATCTAGTCCACCCCCCTATTCCATGCAGGATGCAGTTGCAGCACCCCTAAGAGAACACTGTCCATCCTCTGTTTAAATACTACGTGGGACTGAGAGGCAGCTCCACTGCCAAGCAACCCTTATTGTCAGGATGTTTCTCCTAATGTTTAGCTGAGAACTACTTCCCTCAAAGTAAGCATGCGTGATTGCTGTATCAGCCCACGTGTCTGGGGGCAATTCTGGTGTGCTCTAGTGCATCACTTCTGTGTTTTTCAACCTGGATCAGATGAAGGAGGAAAGTACCTGCTGGGTTTGGCACTCTGTGAAACGCCTGAAAAGCTTCACTGTGTTAAATACATGCTCCCTGCCATCCTGAATAGCTGTACACTGGTACGCAGACACTACTCAGAAAGCCCACATTAGCCATCTCTCATTAAACAAGGAGGTCCTATGAAAACACAGATATTTATAGCGATTTACCAGGCTGCACGGAGGTGGTATAAAGAGCTGATCAAAGGGTTTGTTTTTCTGTTTTGGGCAGACTGACTAAAAGCTCCGAGTTTATTTCAGGTGAGACCAAAGCAGCCCAGTAAACCCCAAAGAGGAATTTGGGAGACCTGGAATAAAATATAACAACTTTTGCATAACTTCCTAACTGCTCTCTCAACTTCAATTCCCTCCCTTCCCCCCCACCAAATGGAAATGAATATGACTACACTCATAACATTGTTGTGAAGATGATTACGGAATGGCTCAGATCACAGTCCTGATGCATCTTATAGGATTGTTGTAACTAAGTCTAAGCTGTGCAACTGAAACAAAGCTTAGTTTGATTAATTACTTTAAACAGCAGCACTAGAGAAATGCTATGGGAATGATTCAGACGAATACACAGTGCAGTCTCTCTCTCTGCCCACTTCCCACTGATTCGCTCAACTGGAGACAGGATCACGGACTCCAGCCCTTGGCCTTCGGGAAGTCAGAATATGCAAACAGCTGCAGTCCTCTACACACTGGGGTGAGAGCAAGAGCATTGCACTCAGCTGTTCTCAAGTGGCCATGCTGGCACTGTGAACCTCTTCCACCAAAGCCCGCTCTGAACGCTTCAAGATGGTTGGAGGACAGTGTTGACTGAGATGGGATGTGGTGGATAACAACCCCAAATCGAATCAGAGAAGTGCTTTGATACAAAATGAGCTGCCTAATGCTTCATTTTGCAGTTCCGGTAGTTAGGACCATAAACCTTAAAATTTCTGCTCTTTTCGTTGATTTATTATCTAGCATCAGTCTTCAACCCCCCTGCTAGTCCTGGATCTGAAACAAAACAGCCCCAGTTGCATGCAAAAGCAATTTGGGGCCTGTGGGATTTATTTTTCACTTCTGTTTACTTTAAAGGCAACATCTGAGGTCTGGAACAGTTGCAGGTCATATATATAGAAAAAGAGGGAGCACATACTCCTGAACTTATAAAATACCAGCTTTGCACTCATCAGAGAGGAGATTTCCTGAGGCGAATAAGCAAATGAATAAGCCTCTTTGTCTTGTGCAAACCAGCACCCAGTCTAGGAAAGCCTGCGTGTATCCCGGCCTGCATGCACGCATGCAGTAAAAGAGACTTTGTCCTCCTCACAACACGGACTTTCCTCCCCCCGAACCCCCAGCCCATTCACCTCTCTTTTCACAAACCCATTGCTGAGAAAAGTTTATTTTTCCAAAGTTAAATCGGATCTCATCATCTGGGCACCAAGAAAAGGTCTAAAGCCCCCTTTCTCTGCAGTTGGTCAAGGTCTGCTTTCTCTGGGACACCCCTGAGCCCTCGCTATCAGGAGAACATAATCTTGCCCCAGAACAGGCTCAAAAAGACCATTCTTCAAAGGCCACGCGGCTTCCCACAGCAGCCCTGGGCTCAGCATCCCAGAGAAAAAGTGGCAATCCCTTTGAAAGACACGTTACATCATCCTTCTCTGAGCACTTCCAAAGGAACTTTCACGGTGCTACTGCCCTGCCTCCACCAGGCAGCCTGACGGGGGAGCTTTCTGCTTGTAGCCCTCTGGAGTTCCCCACCACTTCTTCTGTCTCTTTTCTTTCCACAAAATAATCCGCAGGGGAGGAAGAAGTGCACAAGGACTTTTCCCTGCCAGCACCAGGACGCTTCCACCTGGAAGCTCCCTTGCAGCCTTCTCTGAACCGGGAGCGTAGTTTCCCAGGAGTCTTTCAACGCAGAAGCGCAAAGCACCCTTGAAAGCGCGACAGACTCATGGTGTGGAAAGCAGACTCCATCCTCCCCTTGCCCATCAGATCTAAAGATGCCCCGAATCATGCAGCACAATGCCTCTTTTCATGTTGGGTTTGCCATCTCTTTTCATTTTTAAAAGCCAGACTTACCCTGCCCTGGGTTCCAGCCTGAGGTGCAGCATGCCCGCTTCCCGAGGCTCCCCCAGCCCACCTCCATCCACCCCTTTGGGACTACGAAGACTCACGCGCACCACCCCATATTTTTACCAGAACCGCACGAAATCATGAAACTTACAGGCTGCGCCAAGGAGAGGCAGATGATTTGGAGGAGAAGGCAGAATCTTAGGCTGCCCCCAAGCTGAGCCATTGGGAGAGTTTCTAGGCTCGCCTGGAGAAGCAGGGGCAGCGGTCAGCCCTGGAATGAGCACAACTGCTGTTCCAGCAGCAGCAGAGATACGGAGGGGTGGAGAAGAGCGGGTGGGCCATTAATATGCAGCATTTGGGGGGAAGAGGGCGGCAAGGAATTGGCTGGGACATTCCCCCCCCGCCTACGACGCGAGAGACCAGAGGGACTGAGCTCAAAGATGCCATTCATGACCCTCCAGGTGACGGGAGGATTATTTTAGGACTCCAGCCCTCTTTTCTCCTCTTACACCGTGGGAAAGACTCTGGGCAGACAGTCGGACACTGACAGTTGAAGAGCAGAACCGGATTACCCAGCACAGCACAGACAAGCGTCTCAGAGCAACTGAGCCCTCTCCAGCTCGTCCCACTGCTCTGATAACAAGCGCAAGGACTGAGCATGTGAGGCAAAGGTTGTTAATTACTTCCCCAGCATTTTACGTGATTTTCGGCCTGACTTTTTGACAACATGGTCACCCTGGGAAGCCGGGGAAACGCAGCAGGAGAGGCAGCGGCATCGCGCACTGCCCCAAAGACAGTCGGGGAGGCGCCAAGCTGCTTTGGCCAGCACAGCAGGGCCAGCCTCGTCAGACGCAGAGGTCTGCATGCTTGTTAAGTAGGTGCGCGCAGGGGGGAGTCACAGAAGACTGTCCTCCACCTGAAGGGCTGCCCCGCCCCGTTCTGGTTTGAGGGTGAGACAGACCGCAGCTCTATTTAAATTCCCCTAATTCTCTCCCAGTGTTCAGCTACATGCACATATGCATTGCCACCTGCAGGTCCCGTGCGAATGACTCGCGTCCTCAGGGTTGCATGTTTTCCACTGAGCCATAAGCCCCCCCCCCCCCGCAGGTATTCTGCACACTTCACAAGCTTGCTGCAGGAAACACCCATAGAGCCTACACAGCTCCGTTTCAGGCCACCTTCTCCCATACAAGGACTAGGCCTGCTCCCAGACGAGCATGCCCAGGCCTTTAGATCTTCTGGAGGGGCCCTTCTTTCAGACAGCTGCCATCAGAGACACCTTGTGTGGTGCCATGAGAGAGGGCCTTTTTGGTGGCTGCTCCCAGGCTGTGGAACTCCCTGCCATGGAAGTACGGTTCTCTTTTTTTCTACTACTATTCTGCCAGCAGGCAAAGAATGGCTTATTCTAGAAGGCCTTGGGCCTGTCGGTGGGTCTGCAGGGTGGATTCTGTAACTGTTGTTTTTATGCATTTTCATGTGTTTCATGCTTTTAATCTATTTTAAATTCTTTCTTCTAAGCTACCTTGAGTGCCAGTTTTGGTAGAAAGGTATAGGTATAGACATAGGTATAGGTATAGGCATGGTCGAATTTTCCCTTCTCTGCACGTTCAGGAACTATTATTATTATTATTATTATTATTATTATTATAGCATTTCTATGCTATAAATAATAATAAATGCTATATTATAATAAATGCTATATTATAATAAATGCTATATTATAGCATTTCTCAACTATCTTGAGGTTTGGCCTGTGAGTTCAGGAGCTTTGGACCTGGAAAGAATGAAAGCAGATTATATCATGTGTTTTTCCACCTGGTAATCCTGTTCTATCTTACTATAACTCAGTGATGGCCAAGTATGTGTGGAATCAGTTACACTTGCAGAGCAAGACCTTGGTGCAATCCAGCTGCCACCTCCAGATGTCGTAGGGCTGACTGATCACATCCTGAAGTAAGTGACACAATACACATCCCCTTCTAAAGGAAGGAGGGGAGGTCGACATTTCCTCCTTACAGCTCCCTCTTCCTTTAGAAGGGGGTGTGTACTGTGTCACTTACTTCAACGGAAACCAGAATCTGGCTTAAGGCCCCACTTTATGAAATGCTGTTTCCTGGAATGCTGAGCTTCTCTTCCACAAAGAACCCATGGTCACAAGAACCTGCAAGCTTATTTATTTATTATTTATATATTTAAAACTTTTTAGACGGTCCCTTACTGTGGTCTCGGAATGGTTTAACAATAAGACAAAATAGAATAAAACCCAGCATCCTAGTCAAATTGTTAACCAATCAACAATAAAACCCATATTAAAACAGTTAAACCTTGTACTTCACTCACCCACACTCCAAAGGCCACCCAAAGAAGCTCCAACCAATCAGAAGCTTTTCCTGGAAAAGACTACGTAAGAACATAAGGAGGTCCCTGCCGGATCACACCGAGATACACCTAGCCCAGCGTTCTGTTCCCATGTTGCCCAGCTGGCTGCCTCAGGCAAACGTGCAAGGGCCCCTCCTACTCATTCTCCCCAGAAACTGGTGTGGGGGGGGGGGCACCTCGTACCTCCTCAGGCACGGGAGGCTGCAGAGCAGACCTTCTCCTCCGTGAGTTTCTCTTACCTAAGGCCATTCCAATGGATGCCCGTCACTACATCCTGTGCCAGCAAAGCCCATGATGTGGCTGCCTGTGCCTGATGAAGCCCCACTTTCTTCGGCGTGTCCCGAACTGCTCGCTTTCTGCAAATTAGCATCACTCCCTGTCACCACTCCTGTTGACACTGCCTCTGCGAAGCTCACTTTTTGAGAGTGCCGTTTCTCAATTACTCCAATTAGCACCTCAGGCGGAGACTCCTGGGATCTCAATGCTTTGAGTTCAGGTGCACACGCGTGCAAACACATGCACGCGCATGAAGCGCCATGCCAGTTTTCCTTCTTGGGGGCAGCCTTACTGCAACCTGGAACTTAAGAGCATGAAGAAGTTACTGATTTCGGATGCAAAATGACCATCTGACCACTCACTGTTATGTCCCACGGTTTTACAGATGAGATTAGAGACCAGTTGGTATTTTTAAGAGAAGGTTTTTTTATTATTTCCTATAGGGACGACACTCTCCCACAAGGACGGGATGGGTGCCGCGCGCTTTAGAGGGACAACGGAGTATTTATACCTTGTTACAAACAAAGGGAGAATTGTTTTTGACAGCCTACGCAAGCGAGCTGGCATGATACAGAGGCGAGACGGTTTTGCGGTTAGTCCATATTTTGATACAAAAGCGGAGCGGCTTGCAGCTAGCCTATCCTTTGAAGAACACTCTGTATCTGCCTGGGGCCGTTTTCAAGTCTTCTATTGTGCTCTATTGTGCTGACCCCAATACACAACTGATTGCTCCGGTGCCTTTAAAACACAGGCTGGCCCACAGAAATTAAGAACGTGGAACCTTCCTTATCCCACTTATTTCCTAGAAGAATCAGAAAAATCAATATGAAAGGAAAAGATCCATGACCACGCAGATACACCACAATTCGCTAATGTTTGTTTGACCTACAACACCCATCGACCTTCAACACCCATCGACCTTCAACACCCATCGACCTTCACCACTGGGATGATGGGAGTTATAGGCCAAAATATCTGGAGGTTGCCCGTCACTCCCAGTTTAATGCTGCTCTTATGCCAGATGACAAAAAAGGGCAGGCAAAAAGAGGAATAAATTTGGTTGGTAGGCCAAATTATCTTACATTACCAACAGTAACCCAAGAAACTGCTGCACTGGCTGCTTCTGCTGATAGTGGGCTATGCATGATCTGTTGTTATCTGTAAAACTTCTGTGTTTCTGGGGGACAGTGCAATTCTGTGCACATCTTTCTCAGAAGCATTTCCCACTTATTTATATGGGCCTCTCTCTGTTGTTGTTGTTAGTCGTGAAGTCGTGTCTGACCCATCATGGCCCCATGGACAACATTCCTCCAGGCCTTCCTGTGCACCACCTTCCCCCGGAGTCCACTCAAGCTCACACCAACTGCCTCAGTGACTCCATCCAGCCACCTCATCCTCTGCCGTCCCCTTCTTCTTTTGCCATCTATTGTTCCCAGCATCAGGCTCTTCTCCAGGGAGTCCTTCCTTCTCATTAGGTGGCCAAAGTATTTGAGTTTCATCTTCAGTATCTGGCCTTCTAAAGAGCAGTCAGGGTTGATCTCCTCTAGGACTGACCGGTTTGATCGCCTTGCGGTCCAAGGGACTCGCAGGAGTCTCCGCCAGCACCACAATTCAAAGGCCTCAATCCTTTGGCGCTCTCTCTAGGACCTAGAGAGTCTAGGTAGTCTTTAAAGAATATTTTCCCCTTTCAGAATCAACAGACACCAGTCACAGACACATTTTCAAAAATCACAGACGCTAAAATGAGTGGTTTTGAACTACTGAAAAGTGCACACTTAAGGGCACAATGTTATACATTTTTAAACAGAAATCTCATAATTCCCAGTATGTGATGCTGGCTGGGTTATGCTAGGAGTCGCAGAACTGTCTGTCAGTCTTTCTTTCTTGCCCAAACATGCATGGAAGTGTAGCCTTAGATACCCTCCCCCTTTTCCCAAATGTCCAAAATTGTTTCCTTCCATCTCAGTTCCTTTTAAAAGTGGGTGTTCGACAGGGGGCCCCATGTTTTTTAAGCAGGAAATCCTGCAATCAGGCTGCTCTGCGCCCCCAGCAAAAGCACTAAAATGGCGCTGTGCTGCAAAGCAAAGGGCTGCCTTCCAGCACCTTCTTTGATGGGCCGGCATTTTGTCCTCCCTCCCTGCTTGGTGATCTTCTCCACGATCAGTATTTCCCGTGTAAACCCCCCAGGCCGTGAATTCAGAAGAGCCGATCAGGGCTGCCATGGACAAGGCATTCCGGGGGTGCTCTGAGGGTCACCATAAGCTGGAGATGGCTTGATGGCACATCGCGACCACAACAAACCCCTCCGGGCAGGGACCCTTCCTCGGCCCACGTGACTCTCCCAAGCGCCAGGATCCTCCTCGCCAGCACCTCAAAGACTGGCCGACGATTTCCCCGCATCTGAAGAATCTTAGCGACTAAAATCAAAACAGTAAGTGCAATTCCCGCTCATCTCGGAGCAAGCCGGCACGTGTGCACACAGCGCATTTCTGCGGGCGCCGTCTTCCTCCGTGCCCCCGGACTGAGAGTCGCCAGCAAAGCGTCTGCAGAGCCCGGTGGCCCAGCGCA